CTTCGTTCAAACTGAGTTTACAGCTTTAGCCACTTGTAACTGTGGAATGTCCTTTTCGAGCTGAAGACTCTCTTAGCTGCTGTTCGGGCATCCAGGTCATGCCAGGGCTTGTAGCTGGGATCCAGAGCCAGCTGAGCTCTTGGCTGTTCTCCTTCCGAAGTTCCTAGTATGGGAAACATGGAGATTCTTCAGAAGGCTTCCAGCGAGCCCAAAGGGAGGCGCAGACCATCCTCAGCCGGACACTCCCTGTCACCTGCACGTCCCAATTGCTCAATCTTGTAAAATCTATACTGCCATACATTATATAAACTCACTGGTATTTATCAGCTTGTTATTTCTTTCAGGAACGTGAGGTTTGGGGCATGAACTTATATTTTGAGACCAAGTACTTTGAAAACATACATGTATGCATGATATGGCTTTTTGTGCCCTTTACTTTAAAAAGGTAGAAGTGGGACAAGAATTTTATTTTATTTTATTTTATTTTTAAAATTTATAAGCCGCCCCACTCCCGAAGGACTCTGGGCGGCTAACAATAAAAAACACATAAAACATAACAAAACAAACAATGCAAAGACAGTCATCCAGGGGTCAGGTTTTATAAACCCCAGGCCTGCCGGAAAAGCCAGGTCTTAAGTAGCTTACGGAAGACCAACAGGGTGGGAGCGGTCCTAATCTCCGGGGGGGAGCTGATTCCAAAGCGTGGGCGCCATCACAGAGAAGGCCCTCCTCCACGGCCCCACCAAATGGCACTGCTTGGCCGACGGGACCTGAAGGAGGCCCAGCCTGTGGGATCTAACCGGACGAAGGGAACTATGAGGTAGTAGGCGGTCTCGCAGATAACCTGGCCCTGAGCCATATAGGGCTTTAAAGGTAATGACCAACACCTTGAATTGGACCCGGAGACCAATAGGCAACCAGTGCAGCTCACGGAGGATAGGTGTAACGTGGGTGTATTGAGGAGCACCCGCTATCACTCGCGCGGATTTGGGCGGACTTGAATGGATTTGGGCAGACCTGGGCAAAGGTGTCAGGAGAGACTGGCAGGCTGGCTTTTCTCATCCAGCTTGGGGTGGGGGGGATATTTAAATATTAAGGGCCTAAATCTTTGGCTGGGGTAAAATCCTCAGGGGAGGGAAAATCTAAAGGCACAAATGGGCAACACCAGTACAAGGAACCTTCCGTGGTCCCATACTGGCCATAATGCAACCTTTAATCCTCGCAACCGACAATTAGGGCTTCTCCTGCACGTAGAAACCCCTCCTCTCCACAAGTAATCCATTTGCAGGGTGCATTTGTGGGATCCTCCAAGAACCAGAGACTCCTCAGTTGCTTCTCACTTTCCAAAAGGTGGCCCCAGCATGCTGGCTGGGACATTCTGGGAGTTGGGCTCCACACCTCTGAAAGCTGCTGAGATACGCTGTCCTGTGAAGAAATGGGGTGCCAGAAACTCATGCTTTCCCATCCTTCAGAAAGTTCCCCAGTTTTGCAAAGCCCATCATCCTCTCCCGGGGGGTCCAGCCATTTAAAGCACTGCCTTCCTTCTACCCACCACTTCTGTTTGAAAGGATTGCCTGGACAAACAAGGGCTTGGGTTGCATTAGTAGCCAGCTGATGGGTTGTGAGGATGTGGAAGTAAACCACAAATACTTAACGCGTGTACGGATGGGCGGGTGCACATATTCTCTCTCGTGCCGGCTTCCAGTGCTTTTACCGAGGGCCCCTTTTGCAAAGTAGCCAGAGGTGCAGGCCTTGTCCTCACCTGGCTCCAGTAGCCATATGTGAGCAGCAGGGAACTTGGACGGAATTGGCCAGTTTTTTAGACCAATCCCAACTTCCATTTTGCTGAATCCTCCAGGCAAGGCCTAGCGAAACCCGTCTCAGAATGCACCCACTTATTGACTTACCAAATTGGTCGGTCGCCGAATCCTCCCAATGCACGGTGACGAACGGCAGAGCATAAAAACATCCAGAGAATAATAAACCAAAACCAAACAATGCTTCGTAATGACGACTACTGTGGAACTGAATAATAAAAATAGACCGTCACATCTTAGCGGGCATTCTCCAGAGACACCCCCCCCCCCGAGAAAGCTTCTTCCTTAAAAGCTTCTTGAGGACCATCGGGGAGGAGGCTGGCTTCGTTTTGGAAGGGAACCTGCTTCATAATGGAGGTGCCGTGATGGAAACACAGACCGATTATTCTCAGAGCGGGTGTTTTTGGCAGCTGATGCATTTCCTGGAGTGCCTGGAGAGATTCCCAGAGAAAAGGGTCTCCTTCCTCTAATCCATCTCTCTTCTCTGCCCCCCCCCAGAGCTCCTCGGATCGGCCAAACGGGTGAACGTGAACTTCCAGGATACAGATGGGTGAGTTGGCCATGCCTGGCTGCCCGCGAGTCTCGCCATGATCGGTGGGGTGTCCTTTTATCCCAGAGGCCTCTGTACAATGTCCTCCTTTCTCCCCAAGCATCTTGTGGGGGGGTTTTCTCTTTCTTTACGGGGGTTCCTACCGTCTCTTGGTGGGTCCTGGCTCCCTTCGCCTTTTCAACTGCTGACAACACTGGCATTTCTAAATTCTGCCGCACAGCTCCCAGAGACCGGTGAGGTCCCATAGATTGGGCCTCCTTCAGGTCCCGTCGGCCAGACAATGTCGGCTGGCGGGCCCTCGGGGAAGGGCCTTTTCTGTGGTGGCTCCGACCTGGTGGAATCAACTTCCCCCCGAGGTTCGAACTACTCCCACCCTGCCGGCCTTTAAGAAGGCCGTTAAAACCCTCCTGTTCCGGCAGGCCTGGGGCTGATGTCCCCGGGGGGCCGGGATATGATCGGACTCGCGGTATGACTGCTTTATTTTATTGTTTTATCATTGTTTTAACTTTGTACGCCGCCCTGAGTCCTTTGGGATTGGGCGGCATATAAATACTATAATAAATAAATAAAATAAATAAAGAGTTGGGCCCAGGGGGTCATGGAAAAGCGACGGAAGGGCCAAAGGCGGGGCAGAACCCCTCTTCATAGAAAAAAAGGGAGGGGGAAGAAGGAGAAGCAGGGATTGGGAGAGGGGAAGCACGTACACCTCCCAGAGAACATCTCAGGATCTCCACTGAGGAAGCACACGGTGGGTCTGGCTGGTCTTTGCGGCAGGATTTAGTGCTGGGTGGGCAGAAAACGTGAACCCATGTAGGCAGGAACTGGGCTTGTGTTGTCTGCCTTCGGAGTTTCTCGAGCCATGAACTGGGCCGTCCCTCTCCTAAAAAAGAGAGAGACTTCAGAGTCACCCAGACAGTTGCGCATTTCCAACCTGCTACCAGATCTGCATTGAGTAACCGTGCAGCTAAGAAGGTCACCCAGGGTTTCTTAACCTCGGCGACTTGAAGATGCGTGGACTTCAACGCCTACGGAAGTTGTGCTGGCTGGGGAATTCTGGGAGCTGAGGTCCACACATCTTCAGGCTGTCAAAACCGAGAAGAACATTGGTGCGCAGGTGCCTGTCTGGTGTGCAGGTGCCTGTCTGCCAATGATCGGGGTGGGGCAGGATCTCTCAGCAGCAAACGTGCCCCCTGACCTTCCTGTCTATGAAGATCCCTTGCGGCAGCTGAATCTGCAGCCTGCATCCATCGGGAACTAAGGAGGTCCTAGTAAAGTAGGAAACACCATGCCTGTTGAGAGACCACACAGTGATCACAATGTGGGAAGTGAGGGTGCAACTCACACTCTCTCCTTTTAAATCCCCCCCCCCAGGGTGCCAAGAATCCACTCGCTCATGGGGCTGACTTTGGCAGAAGCAGAAGACCTGCTGAACAGAGGCTAGCCTGCCCTGTGGGGGAGATCTGCCATTGGCAGGGATGGTTTAGGACAGGGGTCTTCAAACCCTGGTTAAGGAGATTCCTCCGGTTGCAGCCAGAGCCAACACCACGCTGGCCCACTGGTCTAGTTGCTGAGACACCATGCAGGGCGTCTGCTTGTGGTGGTGGGGGGGAGGCGATGGCAGAGATCAAATCCGAGCTTCAGAGCCCCGTCCTGCCCTGCAACACCACAGCTACCCACCCCAGGCCGTTAGAGGGAAACGGCCAATAGGAGCCGGGCAGACCCTGCATCCTCTCACGTCACCAGCCCAGCCACTGTTGAAGCCAACAGCCTTGTTGTGCATCCAGCCCTGCATGGTCAGGGGAAGGTGGGGACCAGCCACTCCCGAGAAACGGAGCGCCAGCTCACCTTGGCTCCTGGGCAGGGAAGAGAGGAGGGCTGGGTCACACGGAGGGTCGGCCAGGCATCTGCCTGCAAAGTTAGGGAGATACCAGACACCACCTCCTCGCATGCAGTGCAGAGAAGTCAGTTTTGCTGCAGGAAAACAACCAACTGAGGCAACCTTTGCATTCTGTTTCTTCCAGTTCCACCCTGAGAAATTAGGTCACCAAAGAGCTGTTGGAGATTCAGCAGACACCCCCCCCCCAGGGTCTCTCCTCTCTCTCTCTGCCTCCCTCCTTCCGAGTGGGCCCCTTTGCAGTGACCAGGAGTTGCACAGTGGCTTTTTTCTCTGGGTGTCTTTGCAGCCCACTCAAAGAGACTCTCCTGGGCAGGGGGTGTCCCCCTTCCGCTCAGCCCTGGTGGGAAATGAGGGGGGGGGGTCAAGGAGAATGTAGAGAGGGAGGAGGAATAGTAAATTGCTTGTAACTGCTGTAAAGAAGATAGATTCCTCCCTCCTTCCCGCCCCGCTTCCTTCCTTCCTTCCTTCCTTCTCTTCCTTCCTTCCTTCCTTCCTTCCTTCCTTCCCTCTCTCCTTCCCTTCCTTCCTTCCTTCCTTCCTTCCTTCCTTCCTTCCTTCCTTCCTTCCTTCCTTCCTTCCTTCCTTCCTTCCTTCCTTCCTTCCTTCCTTCCTTTCCTTCCTTCCTTCCTTCCTTCCTTCTTCCTTTCTCTTCTCCCTTTCCTTCCCCTTCCTTCCTTCCTTCCTTCCTTCCTTCCTTCCTTCCTTCCTTCCTTCCTTCCTTCCTTCCTTCCTTCCTTCCTTCCTTCCTTCCTTTCTCTCTCTCTTTTTCTCTCCCACACATTTAGCCTTTTCCTAACTTTTCTTTTTATATGTTTTCATGTTTATATTTTATTTACGTAAAGCTCCAATGAACATTTTGAAAAAGGAGGGGCAAATGAATATTTGCTGAAAGGAGCAGAAGGTGGGCGACAAGCAAAAAACAATGTTGGACGTGCAAAGAGTCTTTCCTGCCTGCTGAGTTGGTCTCCTTGATTCAAAACAGGGCACGTCATCCAATCCAATCCTAATGATCCAATCAAAGTACAAACCAGGGATAACGATAGCAAAATCAAAACTGACCCCACTTCAGGATCATTCTGAGAGGAACAACCAGGTGGGGACGGGACTGCTCCTTACCCTGCAAGGCCAGTCAGAAAAGTCAGGATGGGGGGAATGAACATTGACAACCCCTCCCTCCAGCTATCCTCCCCTCCCCCATCAGCCACCAGGGGTCCTGGACCCTCCAGGTGGGGCAGGAGATTGTCCAGCCTCTGAGCAGCCATCAAGGGCTTGGGAGGTGCTGTGGCACATCCCTTCCTCTGGCTTCCCTGGCTCCTGGGGGGGGGGGAGGAAATTATTTCAAAGGGGGGGACTCATTGCTCTGCCCCCCCCTGTTTTCCAACCTGATATCACTTCTATCTCCAAGAAGCCTTTGCCTGTCAGAGGGGCTGGAGTCAGGGGGAGCAAACCCCTTTAAGACAACAATCCCCCCCTCTTCAAGGTGGGTGCTCAAGAACTTCTTGGGCAGGGGCTCTACCTGGGTTCAGAGCGAGGGGAAGGCAGACGTCCCCCACAGGGAGAGAGCCAGGCTGAAGCGAGCTATGGCGCAAGTGTTTGGGGAGGGGAGCCTGGGAGTGGGGCAAAGGAACCCCTGGGGGCAGCAGGAAAGGGGAACCCCACAGCAGGGGGGAGGCAGAGGAGGAGGTCCTCAAACTCAAAACTGAAAACATCTGGAGAGGGAGGGGAGGAGGAGGGGGACTTTCTCTTCTTCGCCTCCGCTATGTTTGCCCTTTTGTGGAATCTTTTTGGAAAAAGGGTTTTTCTATTTTCAGCTATCTGTCTAAAAGGGTATAGAGCAGGGATGGCAAACTTTTTAGAGACCGAGTGCCCCAAAACCACCCCACCACCCCCGTTCCCGCTCTGACCTGCCCACTGGGCCACCCACCACCTCCTCGGCCCACCACAGGTCACCCAGGTAGCCTAGCAACACCATGGCAGCCATACCCTCCGCCCATGCCCCACAGCATCATCTGCGCGCAAGGGGTGCAAGTCTTGTCCCCATTGCCCGGCTACCATGTCCTTGGCTGTGCTGCTTCGTGTGGACCGCGCCCAAGGGCAACTCTCCTCTGGGGGAGCTGCTGGTGAGGAGGGGGCCGTGGGAGGAGGCGGGGCTGGGGAGACAGTGCGGGTGCCCACAGAGAGGCCTCCGAGTGCTGCCTCTGGCACCCGTGCCATAGGTTCGCCACCATTGGTATAGAGCAGTGGTTCTCAACCTTTTTAATGCTGCGACCCCCAACCGGTCGTAAGTCGAGGACTAAACCAGTCGTAAGTCGAGGACTACCCAACCGGTTGCAAGTCGAGGACTTTCCCTGCCCGGGAGCATCGCGCATGCGTGGTGCCGCCCCCTGCGCCGGCCGAGGCGTAGCTGGCAAGCGGCAGAGACGGAGCAGGCCGACCACCGGCTGGGCCACCAGCTGGCCCAGCCCAAGGGAGGTAAGGCACCCGCCGGAAAAGGGGGAAAAAAATGGCAGACAGCCTTGCTTGGCGACCCCCGTGAAATGGTCGATCGACCCCAAATGGGGTCGCGACCCATCGGTTGAGAACCGCTGGTGTAGAGCCTTCTGCTTGACCAGGGGGGTGGACTAGAAGACCTCCAAGGTCCCTTCCAACTCTATTCTGATTGATTGGTTCGAGGCGGCCGTACAAGCAGGGGGTGGGTGGGTGGCTGGGGGTTGCTCAAGAGCCCCCTCTGCCGGGTGCTCCCTCGGCACCTTCCCTGGTTCGGTAGGTGAGGAGGGGTCCCTGCGCTAAGAGGGCAGGGAGGATCCCGACGTTTCACGAGGGGATCAGAAAGGCTTACAACTCGCCCATTTCCCAGACAGGCGGTCCATGAAAAGAGAACCCCGGAGGTGCCCCAGAGGGTTGGGGTGCTGACTTCGTTAGGGGTGTTGTGGTTGCCCTGGGACCCACCCCATGGACCCCTGAGAACACCCAGATAAAGCAATTAAAACAAGACAATAAATAATACATAGATAGAAACGAGAATTTTATGCACCAGAAGAAAACTGAATTTGATCTGACTTCTTTGTCTTGCCAACGGCTGGGGACCCAGGCTAGCAGCTCAGAAGCTGGTCTGGATCAGGCGGATGTCACACAGATCAGGTGGATGTCACACAAGCAGATCTTTCTCTCCATAATTATATTTGCCATTTCCCTTTTTTCGCTTCCGATTTTGGCTGGCTGTTTGCTTCCTGATGGGTTTTTGCCTGTTTATTAATCAGATTCATGGGCCACTTTTTTTGCCATCAGATAATAGACAGAATAACAGACTTGGAAGGGACCTTGGAGGTGCTCTAGTCCAACCCCTTGGTCAAGCTTTCGAATCTCTTCTCGAAGACCTCCAATCTTCTGGAGGCCATTCCACTTATTGTTCTCACTGTCAGAAAATTTCTCCCGGGTTCTACGTTGGATCCCTTCCTAATGATCTTCATCTGTAATTTCTTGTCCTGCCGTCAGGTGCTTTGGGGAACAGGTTGACGCCCTCAAGAAGCCAAGGCCACTTGCTCATTGTTGGTTGGGGGGCTGCATGTTTTTTGCTTCCCTGCTCTTAAATGGTGTTGGCTTCTCCAAGAGCCAGCTGAGGTTCATCCTACCAGAAAAGGCAGAGACCTCTCCATTTTCCCAGAGAATCGGCTGCTCTCCAGTGCCTTTGACTCCTTCACCCCTCTGCAGCTCTCCGGCTGGGTTCCCACAGCAGGCCGAACTTGGCTGCTATAATAGTCTGTGTAGAATAAGGTTAAAGCTAATCTTAGCCTGTTGTGTGCTTGCAGCAGCTTTGAGGGATAGGATCGGGCATCTTGTAACTCCCTCTTCCTTACCACAAAGAAGGCAGCAGAGGCCCTAGAGCTGCAAGGTGTGCGTTTGTCCTATTAAAAATGGAGACTATCCCAGGTGGGCACCACTTGGGCACCTTCCCAGCATTCACATATGCAACCACTTACAATCCAGAGCTGGTGTGTTGCAAGTGACCCCAAATGCTTAACCATCTGCAGTTGCAGAAACAGGTTCCCCCCACCCGTCCACTCAGCCATCCCCAGAAAGCTTCCATATTTGGAGGGTCATGCATTTCTGCTGGTCTTGCTTTGAGATCCGGAGGCTGACTTCCTGCCACATTCCTGGCAACCCCCAAAGTCCAGAGAGCAGTTTGCAGACTGGATTTGGGGTGTTTGCTCTGCCTGCAAAGGCGGCGAGCTGAATCAACGCTGGTGCTTCTGGATCGGTGCCTTTTTTGTTCCTTTCCTAATTGACCTCAGCCATAAAAGTAGTCTTGTTCCCAGCAGCAGCGGAATTATATTTTCTTTCTTTTTAAATAAAATTTTAATTAAAAGTTTTACAAAGAACATAAACGCTAACAAACTAATAAGAAGCAAAGGAGGGAGGGAGGGAGGGAGGGAAGGAAGGAAGGGAAAAGTGCAAAAAGCCTAAATAAAAAGAAGCTTCCTGTTTCCTTTGCAGCAAATATTACAATTACAAAATTATCTCTTACCTTATGATTCCAAAAAAAGCTCCCTTTTGTCAATTCCCCATTTTTTTAAACCATCAAAACCACAATTCATCACTGCTTTTTTTTTTTTCTGTTTCATCCAAAAAGTCTGTAAGGGGTTTCCAGTCAACCACAAGTATAGCTAATGTCTTTTCTCTGATCAAGGAAGTCAATTTAACTGTCTCTGCAAACTCCATCCTCTTCACCAACCCATTCCTCCACTGCAGGTAGTTTCGATCCACATTTCCATTATGCATCTTCTACAGCAGTGATGGCGATAGAGACCAGTGCCCAAAACCTGGCCCCGCCCCTGCTCCACCTCCTGTCCCGCCTCTGCTCCCTCCACCCAGTCCCCTACCCCGCCTGCCAGCAGGACCACTCACCGCCTACAGGGCCCACTGCAGATCGCCCAGATAGCCCAGCAGCGCCATGGCCACGCTCTCTGCCTGCTCCCCGCAGTATCAACTGTACAGGATGGGGAGTGAGGGCAGAGTCTTGTCTACGCTGCCTGGCTGCCATGTCCTTGGCTGCGCTGCTCCATGTGGGCCACACTCAAGGGCGACTCTCCTTCCGGGGGGGCTGCTGGAGAGGAGGGGGTCACGGGGGGAGGCGAGGCTGGGGCAACGGCATGTGTGCCCACAGAGAGGGCTCCGAGTGCCGCCTCTGGCACCCGTGCCATAGGTTCGCCACCACTGAACTATATTATATATTTTATATGCAGCCCAAGACAATTTTTCTTCACTCAGTGTAGCCCAGGGAAGCCCAACATTTTGAAATAAGCTGCTCCTAAGGCTGAGAGAGCAAGAGAGGCCAGGCATCCGACTGTCTTTGCGTCTAAGGCAGGATTAAAACTCACAGCCTCCCAGTTTCTAGCCTGGTCTCTCGTTCTACAGGTAGTGCAAGTATGGCACCCGTGCCATAGGTTCGCCACCACTGTTCTAGAGCAGGGGTTCTCAACCTTGGCAACTTTAAGACTTGTGGACTTCAACTCCCAGAATTCCTCAGCCAGCTTTGCTGGCTGAGGAATTCTGGGAGTTGATGTCCACAAGTCTTAAAGTTGCCAAGGTTGAGAACCCCTGTTCTAGAGTGTCAAGTCACAGCCTCTCCAATCCATCTGCTGAGGGAGAGGGAGCCGTAGGATGAGGATTCGGCAACTTCCTGGGAAATATCTCTAGAAGGTCTACAGCCTGGAATTAAGGAGAAACTTTCTAACAGTGAGAACAATCAACCAGTGGAACGTCTCGCCTTCAGAAGTTGTGGGTTCTCCAACACTGGAGGTTTTTAAAAACAAGAGTGGACAGCCACTTGTCTGGAATGGAATATCTCCTGCTTGAGCAGGGGGTTGGACTAGAAGACCTCCAAGGCCCCTTCCAGCTCTATTTTGACTGATAGATTGAAGATCAGCAAACCAGGTCTCCCTTTGGCAGAAGCCACGTTGACTCACCTTCAGCGAGGCTTCTGCTCCTCCTTTGAGTAGATTGCTAGTCTGGCTGGGGAGTCCTTGCAAGGCGAGCTGGGTCATTCATCCTTCTCCCGGGGCACGGTGGCTGCCCAGGGTGCCCTGAAATCCTCAGGGCAAATCAGCGGAATTATTGTGCTCACCGTTGTAGAGACGGGAACATTTTTTTTAAATCTGTGTGTTTTCATTTCAGATCTTCCTTCCGTGCCAAGCTGCACATTATGCAGCGGAGGATTAAAAACTAATAAAGCAATCGTATAATGCTGACAGGAAAGAGCAGTTCCAGAAATCAAAAACCCAGCTCGATTAAAACAGGATCAGGCTAAAAAAAAGAGAGAGAGAGAGAGAGAGAGAAGGAGAGAGAGAGAGAAGTTGTTTTAATTAGACAGAGGAAAGTACTCCGAAAAAAGAAAAAAGAAAAAGAAAAAAGTCTGCAGGTGGAACGAGATACATGGGGCCCAGAGACGCTCATAAGAAAAACCTTTGCAAAGTGGATTTTCTTGCAGAAATTCTGGTCAGCCTCTTGCTGAGGATGGAGGGGCCACTCTAGAGGTGCCTAGACCAGCTTTGCAATCCAGAGCTTGGTTATTAAAGAGGATCAGAGTTAGAAAGGACCTTAGAGGTCTTCTAGTCCAACCCCCTGTTCAAGCAGGACACCCTATATAATTCCAGACAAATGGCTGTCCAGTCTCTTCTTAAAGACCTCCAGCGATGAAGCACCCACAACTTCTGGTGGCAAGCTGTTCCACTGATTAATTGTCCTCACTGTTAGCAAGCTTCTCCTTAATTCCAGGTTGCTTCTCTCCTGGATTAGTTTCCATCCATTGCTTCTTGTCCTGCCCTCTGGTGCTTTGGAGAATAGGTTGACCACCCCTCTTCTTTGCGGCAGCTCCTCAAATACTGGAATACTGCTATCATGTCCCCCCTAGTCCTTCTTTTCTCTAGAGTGGCCATACCCAAATCCGGCAGCCGTTCTTCATAGGTTTTAGTCTCCAGGCCTTTGATCATCTCAGTTCTTCTCTGCTCTTTTTCCAAAGTCTCAACATCTTTTTTAATAATGGGGTGACCAAAACTGGATGCCCTGTTTCAGGAGTGGCCTTACTAAGAGGAGATCAGCTTGAGGGGCAGGGGTGAAGGGTGGTCTTGGTGATCTTTGCTCCTGCCGTGACAGGTTCTCTGCCTTGCATCACGCCGCTCTCAACGGCAACACGGAGCTTCTGCTGCTGCTGCTGGAGGCCCAGGCTGCGGTGGACATCAAGGACAACAAAGGCAAGCGTGGAGCTGGGGGGAGGGGGTGTGATGGTGCCAAGTCAGGAGAGCCCCCCGGTAGGGACGGGGCGTGGAAAAGGAGGCCAAGGTTGGGTCCTGGCTCCAGAGCACCAACCAAGTTTGTGCAGGGAGGCAAATTCTCTTGTCGTTGTCTCCCAGAAAGAAAGATGGCCTTCAGCCAGGACGTCCAGACAGGGCCAGTCGAAAGCCATCTTCTTCCTTTGGGGAGAGGTCTACAAGAGCTGCCCTGGTAGATGTCCCACTCTTCATTGGAGCCAAAACCAAATACAGAAATTATCATCGGGCAGGACAATCTTACATCCCTGATTTCGTAACTGCCAATTGCCTCTTCTCAGATGGATCGTAATCTGAGTTCACCTCTTGGCTTTGTGGGATGGTCATTCTTTTGACTGGCCGAAGGACCTGCTCTCTCTCTCTCCCTTTCTCTCCATTCCTGAATTTCTGCCTCTTCGGCAGGCATGCGCCCCTTGCACTACGCTGCCTGGCAAGGGAAGAAGGAGCCCATGAAATTGGTGCTGAAGGCCGGCTCCTCGGTCAACATCCCGTCGGACGAGGGGCAGATCCCTTTGCACTTGGCAGCCCAGCACGGACACTACGATGTGGTAAGAGGCGGCTTGAAGCAGTCTCGGTCGGAGGAGCCCCGGGGATTGAAGTTCACACATCTTCAAGGTGCCACGGTTGAGAAAAGCTGCCTTGACAATTCTGCTCACCCCCCTCATCTTTACAGCCCTATGAACTAGGAAGTCTTTTCTGAGCCTCTTGCTCTGCCCACTAGACAGCTGTGCAGCCTTCTTATCTAATTGTCCATCTCTTTGCCCAGGTTCCAATGGCCCTTCCCACATACCATTACAGTCTCCCTCTCCCAGAGGCAGGTGGGCTGTGGGCAGCAGTGTCTCTAGCAGTGGCCATTGGCTCCAAAAGCACCCCAGCCATTTGACCTGTGTGCCCTGTGGGTAGTGCACATTAAAAGGAGGTGATTGACAGTATATTGAATAACTGGAGGTTGTATAAATGTTTATAGAAGTATATACCGAGAAGGTTAGAGAAATAGAAGTATTAATATTATTGTATATATAATACAGATAGGGAAATTTGGAGAGAGGAGTTGCTCGGACATTACCCCTGAATTGTATCTGAAGAGGGATGAGAGGGAAAAAAGGAGAGGAGAGAGAAAAGAGTAAAGGAGGGGAGAAGGAAGCAGGAAGGTTGGAGGAGAAGAGGAGAAGTGGGGAGAAAGGGGAGGAGAGTGGTGAAGAGGAGAGGAAGAAGAGGGAAGTAGGGAAGAGAAGAAAGGGAGAAAGAAGGTAGAGAAGAAGGAGTGTGGATACGGTGAAAGGGAAAATGGGCGAGCAACACCCAAAGTCATGTGTATGTATTTATTTCATTTATTAAAAGTATCTTATATATGAATGTAAAAAGAATGTATGTTAACATCTGATAAATATTACGGTATATGTATGGGGGAGAGTTTGGAAAAATAAAAAATTATTAATAAAAAAAGGAGGTGATTGACAGGTTGCACCTCCTGGGTGGGGGTGGTCTTTGGAGGAGGAAGAGGCAACTGGGGTGGGGGTTCAAGTGGAGCTAATGGGTGCATTTGGCAGGCTGGGTCTGTGCCAAAGGGGGTCTGTGGGCTTCCCACTCTCTCTCTCTCCATCCCCCAGTCAGAAATGCTCCTCCAGCACCAGTCCAACCCCTGCATCCTGGACAACAGCGGGAAGACCCCTCTGGACTTGGCCTGCGAATTTGGCCGCGTTGGGGTAAGTCTGATCTTTGGGGGGGGGGTTGTGAAAGAGAACCAGCCACAAACCCCGTTAAGGGCTTGTCTGCAAAATATGCTGTCAGATGGGAGCTGGTGGGGGCTTCGGTACTGCACTCCCCCCCCCCCGAGAGTCCAGCACTCTTTGCTAGAACTGCCCCCACTTTTTTTGATCTTTTCCTTCGAGATTTGGGGGTGAGATGTCAAATGTCCCTTTGATGCCCCCCCCCCTGTGAACCACCTGCTTAACACCCCGGTGGACCTTTGCATTGCTGGCCACGAGGCCAGGCTTTGGGGCAAAGGGGTGGGTTTGTGTCATTTTGTGAGTGTAAATATGAAACCTCGGAAATTTCTACAGGGTGATGGCAAAACCTGGGCTTTTCTTGAGAGTACTAATTGGGGTACTGAGGGTCTCTTGTGTCGTGTTGGAAGTGGGGGGCTTTGGCTGCTCTCTGGGGAATGGGAGGAAATTCTTTGGCACCATCTCTGTTTCTTGGACTGCCAGGTGGTGCAGCTGCTTCTGAACAGCAACATGTGCGCAGCCCTGTTGGAGCCCAAGCCGGGGGACATCACTGACCCAAACGGGACCAGCCCACTGCACCTGGCCGCCAAGAATGGGCACATTGATGTCATCAGGTGAGGTGAGGGGAATCCAGGCCTGAAGAAGACCCTGGGCAAAAGTGAGGGTCAAGATGGGTGGCCCATTCTGACAACATGCAGCCCGGGCTGGTCTCCTTTCCTGTGAAGGTGGCAATGATGAAGGAGCTGCCCCAACCAGAGGCAGTGAGAGTGGTCCAAAGAGGACCATCTGTGTAAATAGTTTGGGCACAATATTGATTTGGATAATTGGCAAAGTTTATGGGAAAAAAACTTAAAAATTACTTTGGCAACCTCCTCTAAGGAAAACCTCTATAAGATGTTTTATAGGTGGCACCTCCCTCCCACAAGATTAGCACGAATGAATAAGGGGAAATCCCCAATATGTTGGAAGTGTGGAGAGACCATTGGGAATCACTACCATATGTGGTGGAAATGCCCAAAGGCACAAAAATTTTGGAATTTATTAAAGAAATGGCTGGAAGAAATTTTGCTAATAGATATAGAGGCCAAACCGGAATTTTTTTTATTGGGAATTATAGAAAGAAAATATAAGAAAGATACAAATTATTTATTACTGCATATAGTAACAGCGGCACGAATAGCCTTCGCTCAAAAATGGAAAGAGAAAGATGTTCCAACCGAAGAGGAAATATTACTGAAAATTTTCAGTTGCGCAGAAATGGATAGACTTACATTGGAACTCAAGGATAAAAGTGAAACTAAGTCCTACAAAATCTGGGAACAATTTTATGATTGGATAGATAACAAGAGGGTAGCCAAGACAAATGTATAGTGTTAAAATAAAATATACATTATAGACAAATGTATATTTAAAAGATAAGTAAATATACAGAAATAAGGGGGAAAGTGCTAATATTATATTATAAATAGCGAGCAAAGCTTAAGTACTATATGTCTATATGAGTATTAATATACTGTAAAGTGATGGAAGATGTATGGAACCAATGACATCATATCTATGTCTCATGTGTTTTTAATTTTGTATTATTAATAAAAAAATTAAAAATAAAAATAAAAACAAACAAAGAGGACCATCTGCACAGGGACCGGTGGAGGAGGTTAAAAAAAAAAAAGCAAGATGGCCGCCGTGGCTGGGACAAAGCCCCATCACTCTTGGTGTCCATCCAGGCCTGTAAAAAGTGGCAAGATGTCAGTCACGTGATGGTGGCCACCTTTTTGATCTCTTTGACACCACCACCACCAGAAGGCCCCGAAGGATCCTCCCCACGTGCCTTTCCTGGGCTTGGGACGTTCTCAGACAGGTTGCCCAGCTTGTTCCTGAGGAGAAAGGAGACCCCCTCCTTCTCCTTGGATTCCCCAAAAGAGCACCTGTTGAACTTCTGCCTTCCACCCCTTCCCTCCCTTGCACTGGAGGTTTTAAGAAGAGTTGATATCATTGTGGACAAAATGGCAGCCATTTTTTCCAGAATGATAGAGGGTCTTGAGCAGGAGGTTGGACTAGAAGACCTCCAGGGTCCCTTCCAACTTTGGTTCCGTTACTCTCTTGCAGGCTTTTGCTCCAGGCTGGCATAGACATTAATCGTCAGACGAAGGCAGGGACCGCCTTGCACGAAGCGGCCCTGTGTGGCAAGACGGACGTGGTGCGCCTCCTCCTGGATGTAAGCCCCCCACCCTTTGCCCAGGGATGAAGGGTCCCGCAGAATCTTCCCGAAGGGCCTGCAGACCCCCTGGGACTGTGGCTACGGGCTACTGGCATCCAGGGGCAACTTCAGCTGCTCTTCACTTGGAGTCCTGAAACAGCCCCCCCTTCTCTTTCGCAGAGCGGGATCAATGCCCATATCCGGAACACCTACAGCCAGACCGCCCTGGACATTGTCCACCAGTTCACGGCCACGCAAGCCAGCAAGGAGATCAAGCAGATGCTGCGAGGTGAGGATGGGGGCCTCGTGGGGATGGGGTGGGAGTGGGGGTCTTTTCATTTGAAGGGCAAAGCAGCCAGAAAACCCTCTTCAGTTGAGGCTGAGCTGCACCTGGTGGTGCCCTTTCCTTCGTAACTGGGAGGGGGCGTGCAAGATAGCTGACGAGGATTTTCTCTCTTTTCTTGCTATTTCTTGCTGGCTTGCACTTCTGCTCAAGACACTAAGCTTTGTGCGCCCCCCCTCCCCCTTCAGTTTTCCTCCCAAGGACCTTTGTGTGACAAACAGAAACTGGCTCAAAGACAGCCCATTGGGACCCCCTTGTCCCAACCCAGTAGTGTACCTGGGACCCCTGCACGATGTGCGCTGCGGCGCCTCCTCTGACACCAGGCCATTTTGACCAGCCCAGATCTATAACTCTTAATGGTGTGATGAAGCTCTTGGCTCTGCCTCCATCTGCTGGCTCGGGTTGGGGAAGACAGGCTGAGCGTGATGGGGGTGCTGGTGGAAGAGCCCCCTGCCCCGTGGCTCCAAGGATGCCAATTCCTGCCCAGCAGCCTTGGTCAGAGAGAGCAGAGCAACGGGGGCAGATGAGGAGGACAAAACCCCTGGGGCAGCCGGAGGAATAGGCGGGTTTTTACTCTCCTCCTGAGATTGTAGGAGCTCCATCACTGGAGCTTTTCAAGAATAGACTGGACCACCGTTTGACTGGGATGATATAAGGCTCCTGCCTTGGGCAGGGGGTTGGACTAGAAGACCTCCAAGGTCCCTTTCATCCCTAGGATACTAAGCCAGTTTTTTTTGTCACAGTCTGGGGGTTTTGGAATATGTGGATGATGAGGAAGTGTGGGGGGGGCTTTGAACTTCCTTCCTTCCTTCCTTCCTTCCTTCCTTCCTTCCTTCCTTCCTTCCTTCCTTCCTTCCTTCCTTCCTTCCTTCCTTCTTTCTTTCTTTCTTTCTTTCTTTCTTTCTTTCTTGCCTTCCTTCCTTCCTTCCTTCCTTCCTTCCTTCCTTCCTTCCTTCCTTCCTTCCTTCCTTCCTTCCTTCCTTCCTTCCTTTCTTTCTTTCCTTCCTTCCTTACTTACTTACTTACTTACTTACTTACTTACTTACTTACTTATTTACTTCTTACTTACCTAAATGTAACTCTGGCCAGCTTACGATGTTAAAACAGTAAAACTATACAAAACATTGATATGATATGATATAATATATAACCTGGAACAGGAATTCACCCCCACCTGTAGGGTTGACCCATGCCCCTCCTAGCCAGGCCGAATGTGAGCAGCTCTAGGAGACCCTTAGCAGCTTCCTGGGAGGACGCAAGGCCTGATGGTCTTAAAGCAGTGGTTCTCAACCTTTCTAATGCCGCGACCCCATAATACAGTTCCCCATGTTGTGGTGACCCCCAACCACTTATACATCACCGGGTGCCAGGGGCGTGGCCAAAGAAAAGGGGGAAAAAATGGCGGACAGCCTTGTTTGGCGACCCCCGTGAAATGGTCGTTCAACCCCAAATGGGGTCCCGACCCACAGGTTGAGAACCACTGTCTTAAAGGAAGGAATAGTGGACCTTCTCATGAAGAAGCCTCCATAGACCCGGCTTTTCTTCACTAGATTTGCTCAGTTTCCAGCCTTCCATTCCTGATGGATGTGTTGAGAAGTTTTAGTACCCAGGGATAAGTCAATTATTTGGATCCCTTTCAATTGGAACCCGGGCCTGGGAGGGCAGCAGCAGTGATTGTTCTGGCCAATTCCTTTGTGAACCCTTGATGGACTCCTAGTTCTCCTCTATTAGATCCATCTTTTATATCATTGATCATTAAATCCTTGAGAACCCTAATACAGTGAGGGAAAAATTATTTGATCCCCTGCTGACTTTGTACGTTTGCCCACTGACAAAGAAATGATCAGTCTATCACAGGGGTAGTCAACCTTGGCTCTTTTATGACTCGTGGACTTCAACTCCCAGAATTCCTCAGCCAGCATGAGGGAACTATGGCCCCTTCATGACTTGTGGACTCCCAGAATTTCTGAGCCAGCATGGGGGAACTATGGCCCCTTCATGACTGGTGGACTTCAACTCCCATAATTCCTGAGCCAGCGTGGGGGAACTATGGTCCCTTCATGACTCGTGGACTTCAACTCCCAGAATTCCTGAGCCAGCATGGGGGAACTATGGCCCCTTCATGACTCGTGGACTTCAACTCCCAGAATTCCTCAGCCAGCATGGCTCAGCTTGGAAACCTCTCCCTTTCCCCTCAGCATGGCTGGTTCAGGAATTCTGGGAATTGAGGTCCACCAGTCAAAAGAGCCAAGATTGCCTACCCCTGGTCTATCATTTTAATGCTAGGTTTATTTTAACAGTGAGAGACACAATAACAACAAAACAAATCCAGAAAAACACATTTCAAAAAAGTTATAAATTGATTTGCATTGGAATGAGTGAAATAAGTATTTGACCCCTTTGCAAAACTTGACTTAGGACTTGGTGGCAAAACCCTTGCTGACAATCACAGAGATCACCAGGTTTGCACACATCTCAGGAGGGATTTTGTCCCACTCCTCTTTGCAGATCCTCTCCAAATCATTAAGGTTTCAAGGCTGATGTTTGGTAGCTCAAACCTTCAGCTCCCTCCACAGATTTTCTATGGGATTAAAGTCTGGAGACTGGCTGGGCCACTCCAGGACCTTAATGTGCTTGAGCCACTCCTTTGTTGCCTTGGCCATGTGTTTTGGGTCACTGTCATGCTGGAATACCCATGCACGATGCCACTTACCGTCCTGCTTAGATCAAGACTCTCTGGGGATGGTAGCTCAAGTTTTGATTGGCACCCAGCTGGACTCCTGCAGTGCACTCTGCCAGGGGCTGCCTTTGAAGGCGAACCAGAAGCCGTAATGGGCAGCTAGGTTCCGGATGGCTCACCTCCTGTCAGGTGAAGCTGCTGCTTGGCTGGCTCAATTCCAAGTATCCGTTATTCCCTTTAGGGTTGAGTACCAGGATGTGTAGGCCACACTTTGCCAACTTCCACCCTGCTCATCCTGCTTCCATCTTGGTTGGCATATAAGGGAGGGTGTGAACCTGCCTTGGTGTTTCTCCCAGGCACAGGTGAAGATGGCATGAATGATAGCGGGCCCAGAGGGCAAGGTCAGCAGTGGGAAGGGGTGCCCAGGGCACATCAGGGGCTGTGGTGCAGGTCATCCATCTTTCTGACCGTCTCTTCCTCTCTTCCTTCCCAGACGCTTCGGCCGCCCTGCAGGTCAGGGCCATGAAAGATTATTGCAACAACTACGACCTGACCAGCCTCAATGTCAAAGCCGGGGACATCATCACGGTGAGCCTCCTGTGGGTGCTGAGTCCTGAGCCAAAGATGGCCTTTGACACGGTCCAGTTTTGCCACCAACAGATGCCCGTCTCTCACTTGAAAGCTTCTACTGGGGGAGGGTAACCCACAAAACGGGGCCCGGCCTATCTGGGGGCCGTTCCCCTCATTGGCGGCCTTTTGCCCCGTGGTGATGTGACTGCTTTTTGTGATGGTTTTGCCCCAAATTGACCTTTACTTCGGGTTTGGGCAAAATTGTGACGTTCCCTTAAAAACTGTGACGATTCGCTCAGCAACCCTCGCAAAAAGGCCATAAAGTCATGTGACCAGCCCACTTTTTTTTTTTAAATTGAAAATTTTTAAAATTTTACAAAAACAAAACAATTTTCCCCCAACCCTCCCATTCCCTCCCCCGACCTTCCCAGAGCTGAATATAGGCTTAATTAAAATTTCTTCAAAAAATCTTAAAAAAAATATAAACCATAAATAAATCTAAATACATTACTTAAGAAAATTATAAGATAATTAACAATAGTGTGCATATGAAAAACATAAATACAAAAAATAAATGTTTAGAAAAAAAAAAGAATAAAGAAAAGGAAAAAAGAAGAAGATAAAAAATATTAAATTTTAAATATAAGTTATTAAAAAACTAAATAATATTTTTTTATATCCAACTTATGTTGTATAAAATCTATCCATTTTTTCCATACCGCAACATACTTCTCTTGCGATTGATCCTTCAAGAAAGCTGAAATCTTTGCCATTTCCGCCAAATAAGAAACTTTAAGAAACCACTCTTGCAAAGTAGGCAAAGATTCCTTCTTCCAACATTGCCCTACTAACAACCTTGCAGCTGTGTGACCAGCCCACTTTTTGACAATGACGACTTATAGTTGTGTCGGGCAGGCTCCATTACGGCCATAACTTGAGGACCACCCATAATAAATATTAACCTTATGCCTTAGGGCACATGCGGAGTAAAGAATGGCCACTGGGACTGGCTCTGGGTTCAGGAGATAAGAGGCCACGTCTTTGGATGAGCTGCTGGCAGCGGCATTTGTGGAGGAGAAAAAGTCAAGACGGTGGCTGGAACTGTTTGAGGGAAGCCTGCTGTCGCCATCTTGATTTTCTGATTCCCCCTCGCAGGGGCCCGTGTCCCGGCCATTCCTTGCTGCCTTGGCCCTAAATGGGTGGGCTCGGATGCTTGCCGCTGACCAGCCTTTGCCTCCTCTCTCCCCTCTCCCCCCCCCACCTTGGCCACAGGTGCTGGAGCAGCATGCCGACGGCCGGTGGAAAGGCTGCATCCACGACAACCGGACAGGCAACGACCGTGTGGGATACTTCCCGTCCACCCTGGTCGAAGCCATCAGCAAACGTACAGGCAAATATCACTCCTGGGGGGGGGCTTCCCAGCCTTCTGGGGAGTGGAGGGGCAGGGATTGGGGCTGCTTTTTCACCCATTGTTCTCTTTTGGGCTGCCTGCGTTTGCTCTGCTTCGACTGGGTGCTTCCAGATAAGCATTTTATACATCGTGGAGGTTTAGGCTTGGTGGGAACGGGGGGAGGGGGTCTTTCCTTGCACCCCTAAGCCCCCTCGCTTTCCTGTCTCTTTGATTTTTGCCACAAAAAAGAGAGAGAATTGAGAGCACCCCCAGGCTTCGGGTTGGCTAACATCTGGAAGCATTCAGTGGGTGCTCTTGGAGAAGAACAGATTTAGATACCGCACGCATTTCATTTTACTCCCGTTAAAAGTAACCTCAAAGCCTAGAGTAAAAAACATGTTGAAGAAAGAAAGCCAAAGGGATCAAATTCCAGCCAGTGCAATCCAGCAACGACTGAGCATCTACTCTCTTTTCGGAGCTGAAGAGCTCCATGGCCTGATGGGGCTTCAACGGGGACAGCAGCCAGCCCAGGCGGTCGGGAATGATGGAAGCTTCCAGAGCTTCAAGAGCAAAGGCCCCTTTCCGGACTGAGCACAGATTGGAGATGTGCCTAGACAGCTGGGCCACAGAGAATAACGGAAGGGACCTTGGAGGTCTTCTAGTCCACCCCCCTGCATAAACAGGAGACCCTATACCATTTGAGGCAAACGCTTCTTGAAAACCTCCAGTGATGGAAAACCCACAACTTCTGGAGGCAAGCTGTTCCATCGACTGATTGTTCTCACTGTCAGAAAATTTCTCCTCAGTTCTAGGTTGGAAGGATTTTCCCTTAGGACAGTGGTTCTCAACCTTTTTAATGCCGCGACCCCCCCCAACCGGTCGTAAATCGAGGACTACTCAACCGGTTGTAAGTCGAGGACTACTCAACTGGTGCAACACCGTTGGCAGAATGGGACTTTTGGTGGGCTCAGCAGGGCAGAGACAGCCTGGACAATTCCTATTGGCTTTTGAAAGCCAATCGAATTAGACTCTATTCAAGAGAGTCTATTCTATTGGCTTTCAAAAGCCAATAGAAGAAAAGGGAGTAGCACAGCTAAGGAAAAGGGGGAAAAAAATGGCGGACTGCATTGTTTGGCGACCCCCGTGAAATGGTCGTTCGACCCCAAATGGGGTCCCGACCCACAGGTTGAGAACCACTGATCTAGGGCATTATTTTTCTGCCTTGGTCGTTTGAAGATGTATGGACTTCGGTGCCCAGAATTCCCCAGCCAATCTGGAGGATTCTGGGAGTTGAGGTTCCCAAATCTTCAAGTGGCCAAGGTTGAAAAAAAAAAACCTGCCTCTAAATTTACCAGACCTGAGTTATCAAAATCAAGACGTCCATAAGAGGGCAGTGAAGGCTTAGTGTTTTGGACGCTCTCTGGCACCCTCTTCTGGCTGCTCAGATGTAGTAGCCTTTGCTGGAGTCTCAAAGCTGCTTTTTCAAAAAGGCAACCGGCCTTTTTTTTCCCTTGAGGAAGAAGAAAACATTTCACTTCTCATCCAAGAAGCTGCATCAGTTGTGATCATCAGTTCTGGTGGTGTTGGTGTTGGTGGTGGGTACTATCTCCACAGATCAGTGTTTCTCGACCATTTTAAGGCATGTGGACTTCAACTCCCAGAATTCCACAGCCAGCAATGCTGGCTGTGGAATTCTGGGAGTTGAAGTCCACATGCCTTAAAATGGTCAAGGTTGAGAAAACACTGCCATAGATCCTCGCTGGAGATTTGTGAGGCGGGAAGGTCTTTTGCACCAGACCAGTTGCAAATGGGAAACTCAGCTTCTCAACCAGGAATCACTGGAAGCTTTTAAGGAGAGACTGGACAGCTACTTGTCTGGAAGGGTATGGGTCTCCTGTTTGAGCCTGGGGTTGGACTAGAAGACCTCCAAGGTCCCTTCCAAGGCTTACTATTCTGTAAACTATAGCCTATGGTCTCAGCCAGAATCTTACTCTGTGTAGCTGAAGGAAAAATGAACCAGCTGCTTGAAACCACAACCTTAAACTGGGGCTTGCTCATATTCCTGTCCTACTTTCTCAAGGTTGGATGGCTCGTAATTAAGTTTTTTTTTACCTCTCCCCTCCTCCTGATTATTATTTTTTTCAATCTAATACTTTGCTTTATTGCAACTGGAGATTTGGTGCTGGAAAAAAAAGTAGTAGATTATCCTATTTAAATTCAGTTAGAATCCAGTTACACGTATAATTAATATTGTAAGCCCCAATTTCCTTTGAAGGCAGATTAAATCCTCAAGAGCGGGGTAGGTGGGAGAGCGGAACGGGGGCCTTAAAATCAGGTAAGGCCACTCCGGGGTTTCCTTAAACCTCGTGAAGTGCATTTCGCTGAGCTGACGATGACTTGTGAGCACGTCCTTGGCTGGCAGGAGTGTCCTGCAGCCTGCAGGCATCCCTTTTCTATCATAATAATTACCCAATAATCAATTGGGGAAGGCTTGGGAGTGCTCAGAAGGGTTTGCGTGCCAGATCTTAGAAGTATAATTGGCATTAATATCCCTTTCGATAGGGGAGAAATTGAAAAGAAAGAGGTTTGCTAGCGAGGCTGTTGCAAAAACTTGAGATTTCAGTGGGGGAGGGTTGTCGGTCACTTGGCTGTGTGTGGCTCCTTCCTTCCATCTTGCGGGACCCCCAATAATCCACTTCCTGGCTCTCCTTCCCAGCCTGGAGCACCCACTTCATGTTGCCTCTTGTGTTTCTGTTATCAGGTCCGTGGGATGCAGACCCTTCCCCGGGGCAGTATCAAGCCATCTCCCTCCCAGCTGGAGGGGCTGCCCTGCCCAACGGCCTCTCTGCCCCCTCTATCTCCTCCTCCTCCTCCTCTTCTCCCCCCCTCCATCAGCTCCATTGCCTGCCTCCACCTCCACTGCTTTCCCATCAGCCTCTTTTCAGTTCCTTCGGCTACCGCCGGCTCGCCCATGGCGGCACGGAAAGGCCTTGCGCCAATCCAGGTAGACCCTCCATTGCTTGGTTCGTTTTATGTTGTGTTCTGTTATGCTTTGGCCCTATTGCGTGGTCCTTCCATGGATCCCGACAAATATTTGTGTGGCTTTTCATTTTGTCAGGGTTTTTTTGGGGTGCTTTGCATGTGCAGGCATTTGTGGGTCAGCGTGTGTGGTTGGGATGATGAAGACGAGGAGCAGGTTGATCCAGCAGCTGGGGCAGGGTAGGGGGTGAGAGGCCACTGGGGACACTGAGGGCATCTCATGGGTGCTCTCACAAAATTCCTGCCATGGGAGGCAGGGCCAGTCCCAACAGCTGTGGATCAGAAGACCAACCACCTGCCCCCACTTCTCTCCCAGAAGGTCCCGTCGCCTTCTGCTGAGCTTCTAGACCAGGGTTCTCCAAATTTGGCAACTTTAAGAAATGTGGACTTCAACCCAGCATAGCTGGCTGGTGAATTCTGGGAGTTGAAGTCCACAAGTCTTAAAATTGTCAAGTCTGGAGAATCCTGATCTAGAGGGAGGTAAATGTTTTTGTCAAGTATTCACCAAGAATTTCTTTCAAAGAAAGAATGGGGTTGGGAGGTGTCCTTGGGAATAAACATCTTATTAAGCAGTGGTTCTCTCTTTGGCAACTTCCAGAAGTATAGATTTCAACTCCCCAAATCCCCTAATTTATATGACTATTGCTGAGGATTCTGGGAGTTAGGTCCACACATCTGGAATTTTGCCCTGGCTGAAGGACACAGTGTAGCAAGCCCTTTCTTAAAAAAAACAACAACAAAACAAGAGTTGGAAGGTAACTTGGAGGTCTTCTATTCCAACCTCCTGCTCAAGCAGGAGACCCAACACCCTTTTAGACAAAAGGCTGTCCAGTCTCACCTCTTCTTAAAAATTAACTTTAGTTGGAGCTGAGAGCCTGATGACCAACAAGGGATGAGCCCACCACTCTGATCTTTGTGTGGCTTCCCCTCACTCAGGAGCAGGATGTTTTCTACCATCATGGAAGTGCCGGAGCGGCCAAGTTATGCATCATAGACATTCTGCTTTACAGCTGCATTGCTCAGTGACAGAAATTCCAGTCCCAACTGCTGTTATGAACGGAGAACTCCTTGTCGAATTGCATGAAAAAGGAACGAGAGCCACAGCTTTGCAGCTTGGAATTTCTCAGAGTATTGTGGGGGGGGAGCCCTGTTTAGACCAGGGGTGGAGGAGAGAAATGTCGTGGGAGACGAGCCCCCCTAAGGGGGCAGTCACTGTCCTGGGTGAGCTCCTAAGAGACGCCCTTTTGCCCAATATAGATAAATATTTTGATAAGATATTTTATGTGCTGTTTTTGTGAATTTTTATGCATTAATGCTGTATTCTGTTATGCCATACAATCTCTCATCTATGTATGTATGTATGTATGTATGTATGTATGTATGTATGTATGTATGTATGTATGTATGTATCTGTCTGTCTGTCTGTCTGTCTATCTATCTATCTATCTATCTATCATCTATCTTATTATCTATCTATCTATCTATCTATCTATCTATCTATCTATCTCATCTATATCTATCATCATCTATATATGTCTATCATCTTTCTATCTATATCTATCTACCTATCATCTCATTATCTATCTTCTGTCTATCTATCTATCTATCTATCATCTATATCTATCATCATCTATCTGTCCATCTATCATCTTTCTATCTATATCTATCTATCCTCATCTCATTATCTATCTTCTATCTATCTATCTATCTATCTATCTATCTATCTATCTATCTATCATCTATATCTATCATCATCTATATCTGTCTATCTGTATCTATCATCTTTCTATCTATCCTATCTATCTATCTATCTATCTATCTATCTATCTATCTATCTATCATCTATATCTATCATCATCTATATCTGTCTATCTGTCTGTCTATCTATCATCTTTCTATCTATCATCTATCTCTATCAACTATATCTAGTCTGTCTTCTGTCTATCTATCATCTATCTATATCTCTCTATCTCTCTATCATCTATCTCTATCAACTATATCTATCTGTGTCTGTCTATCATCTATCATTTATATCTATCTATCATCTATCTCTATCAACTATATCTGTCTGTCTGTCTATCATCTATCATCTCTCTATCTCTCTATATCATCTATCTCTATCAACTATATCGTCTGTCTGTCTGTCTGTCTGTCTGTCTATCTATCTATCTATCCATCCAACCTCTCTCTTTATCTATGTATCTATAGTGTATTCTATCTATCTATCTATCTATCTATCTATCTATCTATCTATCTATCTATCTATCTATCTATCATCATCATCTATATCTGTCTGTCTATCTACCTATCATCTTTCTATCTATCATCTATCTCTATCAACTATATCTAGTCTCTGTCTTCTGTCTGTCTGTCTGTCTGTCTATCATGTATATCTCTATATCTCTCTATCTGTCTATAATCTATCAACTATATCTATCTGTCTATCTGTCATCTCTCATCTCTCATCTCTCACCTCTCTCTCTCTCTCTCTCTCTCTCTCTCATCTATCTCTATCAACTATATCAACTATATGTATCAAGCCTCTGTCTGTCTATCTATCTATACAATCTCTCTCTCTCTCTTTATCTATCTATGTATCTATCATCTATCTATTATCTCTATCTATCTATAATCTATCTATCTATCTATCTATCTATCTATATCTATCTATCTCTGTCTGTCTATCATCTTTCTATATCATCTATCTCTATCAACTATATCTAGTCTCTGTCTTCTGTCTCTGTCTATCTATCATCTATCATCTCTATCTCTATATCTCTATATCTCTCTGTCTATAATCTATCAACTATATCTGTCTATCTATCTATTATCTATCATCTCTCTATTGCTATCTCTATCTATCTATCTATCATCTATCTCTATCAACTATATCTATCAAATCTCTATCTATCTATCTATCTATCTATCTATCTATCTATCTATCTATCTATCTATCTATCTATCTATCTTATGTTGTATATATTGTATGGCATAACAGACTATAGCATTAACACATAAATAATTCACAAAATAGCATATAAAATGTCCTATCAAAATATAAAACAGAGCAGTGAATTATTTTAAAAACACACAGCATGCATGATCAGTAAAATAATCTAAAATTAAATGATGTATGAGCCGTTACTGGGTGGCTAAACCAATGGCCAGGATTTGCTCAGTACCCCACGGAGAACGTTAGATGCAGATGGGGTGGAGGCTGGAGGGCCAAGAATTGCCTCAAAAATTACTGCCAGGAGGAAGCTGGACTCGGAGGCACCTGCAGGAAGTGGCTGGGGAAGGAATTCAGACTGTGTGGTTTGAGAAATGGGAGAAGGCAGAGGCTGCAGAGGATGGTCAGAAATGCCAAGATGGCACTGCCGTGGCTGCTTGTTATGCTATCATGGCTCTCTTGAGCTTCTTGGCCATGCCCTGCGGAGGTCCCGGGAGAAGGGAAGGGGTGTGAGAGCAAGTGTGTACGGTCAGTTTCTGTTTTGTTTTCTTGGCCCTCTTATCATTTTGTCCTCTCCCTTCCCTGACCTTCCACTACCCGAACCAACCCTCTCAGGCCCTGGGTGCTTCTTCAAGGATTTGGGGTCTTGTTTCCACAAGTGTTTAATCCAGTGTTTCTCAAACTTAGCCCCTTGAAGATGTGTGGACTTCAACTCCCAGAATTCCCCAGCCAGCTAAGTTTGAGAAAAACCGTTTCAATTAATACAGGGCGTCCCAGAGTTGTACCATCATGTACTTTCCGTGAGAATGGACAGAAAACCCTTTTTTCCTCCCTTTTACCAGCCAGCCCAGTCCCCAGAGATTGGGCCTTTGATCTTCTGGAGCTCCCATCTGGCTGCATCCATTTCCACTGGGACTGCAACACCCAAAATGCCAGCACAGCTGGGGAAGGCAGGCTGGCACACGAGAGGAAGTGAATCCAACCCCCTTTTGGCGCAGGAGCACGCTCACTTCCGGGTTTTCCCATCCGAACTGACTTGGACCACGGCATTAACAGTAGCGTGGCTACAGGCACTCTTGAGGGGGGGGGAACTTGCTGGGCGCCCCATTTCCTCGCCGGGCCCCAGAGTGGAGTGCGGGCTTCTCCCAGAGATGCTCAGTGCCACAAAGAACACAATCAGGGTGGCCCCCACAATCTGCTTGCACAAACACCATTGGCCTGAGAGACCGGTTTTGCTTCCCCAAGACCCTTTGGCTGACTACAGACGAGGCAAAAAAAGGACTTTTTCACCCTTTGTTGGTTTTCCTGCTTAAAAAAAAATGGTGATGTGGCCTTTTAATCAGTGGCTGTCAGCCTCGACAGCAGAGCGTCAGATATGCAGAGCAAACCACAAGGAGCAGCTTAGGGAATGCACCCCGCCATCTAAGGTGTGCCTAGGTAGCAGCTGGACTAGGTGACTGTAGCCTTTGCAGACCCTACCCCCACCCCCAGTGAAGATTCCTTAGTCCAGGGGTGGTGAACCTATGGCACGGGTGCCAGAGGCGGCACTCAGAGCCCTCTCTGTGGGTACGTGGGCCGTCGCCCCAGTCCTAGGCCTTCAGCTGGGTTTTATAAAACCTTTTCGCTTTAGGCCTCCGCTGCCATGTGCCCCCCAAAAAAGAAGGTTCAATCGATCAGTCAATTTCAACTTCTCGCAGGAAAAAAAAAGATCTTGCAAAGTTGGAATTGATTGATTGAACTTTTTAGTCCCACCCAGTCTGCCGTTACCACTGCAGCCACGCCCACCCAATTGGCCACACCCACTCAATTGGCCACACCCAGCCAATGGCCACACCCACCCAGCATCTGACGATGCATAAGTGGGTTTTGGGTTACAGTTTGGGCACTCAGTCTCTAAAAGGTTCGCCATCACTGCCTTAGTCTAATGGTTCTCAAACTGTAGTCCATGGAAACTGGGGGGTGGGGGTGGGACGTGAAGTCACAGGATGTCCACGAAGGCTTGAAGAAATGTTATGATTTAAATCTTAAGTCTTGGAGGTCTGTGGAAAGGCTGAGAACCACTGTCCCAATCCAATAGCCACAAAGTTGGCAGGGCAGCCTGGATGCCAGTGGAACAGCAGTAGCCAAGCTGGGTTTCACACTTTGGAAAAAGCAATCACGCTTAGACTTATATACCGCTTCACAGTGCTTTACAGCCCTCTCTTAGTGATTTACAAGGTCAGCCTCCTGCCCCCAACAATCTGGATCCTCATTTTACGAACCTCAGAAGGATGAAAGGCTGAGTCAACCTTGAGCCACTCAGGATCGAACTCCAGGCTGTGGGCAGAGTTTGTCTGCAATGCTGCATTCTCACCGCTGGGCCACCATGGCTCTTACGTTGAGTCTCCTGGACGCCATGAGGTCAAAAATAGTGGCAAAAGCCAAGACCCTCCCTCCTGGTGAAACGGTCTGGGGTATCGAGCGTCCAGAGGAGGCTGATGAAGCTTCCACACACGCCCTTCTTTTTCATGCGACGTTGTCTCCCTTCTCTCACCTCTTCTTCTCTCTTCTTCTCTCCCTCCCCTTGCTGGGTCGTGATGCTGTCTTTGGCCTCAAAGGTTCCCGGGGGTCGGATGCCAGCCCCTCCCACTTGTCCCCCGGCAGCTCTGCTACCACGCCGGCCCCAGCAGAAGAAATTTGGGTGCTCCGCAAGCCCTTCGCAGGTAGGAGGAGGGCAGGGGGACCTCCTGGCCACAGGGATACAAGGGGCATCAGAATTAGAACCAGAATAGAGCTGGAAGGGACCTTGGAGGTCTTCTAGTCCAGCCCCCTGCTCAAGCAGGAGACCCTACACCATTCCAGACAAATGGCTGTCCAGTCTCTTCTTGAAAGCCTCCAGTGATGGGGCACCCACAACATCTGAAAGCAAACTGTTCCACTGGTTAATTGTCTTCCGTGTCAGGAAGTTTCTCCTTAATTCCTGGTTGCTTCTCTCCTTGATCAGTTTCCATCCGTTGCTTCTTTTTTTAAAAAATATGTTTTATTGAGTAAATATTTTAAAACAGGTTAAACACAGGGTGGCTTTTCTGGCTGTTATTTTGCCATACATACTATACCAGGGGTAGGCAACCTTGGCTCTTTTATGACTCGTGGACTTCAACTCCCAGAATTCCTGAGGCAGCATGGCTCAGCTTGGAAACCTCTCCCTTTCCCCTCAGCATGGCTGGCTGAGGAATTCTGGGAGTTGAAGTCCACGAGTCATGAAGGGGCCATAGTTCCCCCATGCTGGCTCAGGAATTCTGGGAGTTGAAGTCCATGAGACATAAAAGAGGCCAGGTTGCCTACCCCTGCACTAGGCCAGAACCATCCAAATCATAATCTTGGACCAATATCTAAATTCTTTGGGACAGGGGTCTCCAATCTTGGCGACTGTAAGACTTGTGGACTTCAACTCCCAGAATTCCTGAGTCAGCCATGCTGAGGGGAAAGGGAGAGGTTTCCAAGCGGAGCCATGCTGGCTGAGGAATTCTGGGAGTTGAAGTCCACGAGTCATGAAGGGGCCATAGTTCCCCCATGCTGGCTGAGGAATTCTGGGAGTTCAAGTCCGCAAGTCATAAAAGAGCCAAGGTTGCCTACCCCTGTACTATACTATATACCATATACCATATATCTCCCTATTCATTGAACTTTTATACCATTTACATATTGCATTTTATACTATTTATATATTTACATACACATTTACATCTATTTACGACATAACTTCCATTTCCATTCTTGTTTCATATTCTTTCTGATCTCTATCTTATGCTCACTTTGAGATTGAAAATCTACACTTTTCTCTCTTCTCTCAAGGAGAAAAAATCAGAACCAAGAAAGCTTTCTTTGTTCTGACTTTTTCTCCTCGAGTCTAACCATCCGTTGCTTCTCGTTCTGACATCTGGTGCTTTGGAGAATAATGTGACCCCCCTTTTCTTTCGGGCAGCCCCTCAAATACTGGAATATTGCTATCATGTTCCCCCCTAGTTCTTCTTTGCTCTAGACTGGCCATCCAGAGAGGCTGGCTGAGGCAATGGGGGGGGTTCCCCTGATGGGAAGCAGTATGGGGAGTTTTGGCAGTGGCTGGCTGATGGGGAGAGGCAATAGAGCAGAGTAAGGTGGGTGCGTCAAGGAGGACTATTGTACCAGCCATTCCTCAAGTAGGCAAAACTGGAGGTTAGAGGGGCCTTTCCTGTCTCTTGGGGGGGGGGGGAACACAGCCCCTGGCTTTAGCATCCCACTATCCAACCTGAAGCTGTACAAAGTATAGGATGGCAAGTCAGGACCCTGGAGAAGAAGTCGGGAAGAGCTGCAGCTTGGAAACGTTTCTGCTTCTGAATGAAGTTTTGTGAATAGGATAAAGTGCTGCCCGGTGCCTCGTGATCTTCTGCTACCGTAGAAGAATTGCACCCAGTTTTCCACCTTCAATGTCTATTTAAAGAAAGCAGCTTTATGGAAGAGGGAACCTTTTAAGATATCCTACAGTAAAGGAGGATAGGATCGCATCAGCAATTGATGGGGGAATTTTTCCCTTGATATATTTAAGGCTTCAAGACCCTTGGAGAGTATTCGGTTTAATGGGGTTTTCTGAACAGAGATTTTTGGGTCCTTTTTGGTTGGACAGCAATTTGACGTGCACCCCCGTTATCTGGTGTTTGCCCTGAATTTCAACAACATGATAGGGGTGGCCAGAAAACAGGCGTGCAGGACCCCACCTGGTCCCTGGTTGCGGGTGCCAGTCCTGAGAAAAGCCACCCATTGTAGGACGGAGCTGTCCTTTCTTTGTCCTGCCAACCTCTCCCTGACCCCCCGCTAGGAGGTGACCGCAGCAGCGTGGGCAGCACTGGAAGCATCGCCAGTGGACGGAGCTCGGGCAGTGGCCAGAGCACGGGAAGCGGAAGCCATGTGGCCCTTCACCCCAGTTCAGAAGGCGTGAAGGTAAGTCAGTCCCTGCTCCCCAGAGGGCTGGATGTGCCACGGAGCTAAATCCGGAGCTCTCCAGCCCACCAGCTGGCCCAAGTCTCACCCGATGGCCCAGGTCTAGTTGTATACTTTTTATCTTTTTAAGAATGGAAGCTGCCCGGGCTAAGATGGGCAGCCAATGAATTTTACAAACAAGTAGCTGTCCATCCTTGATGTTGCTCGGTCTTCTACTGCCCCCTTGTGGTTGCAGGTTGGATTGCTCGCCCCTTCCCGATGCCACGCGCTTGGCTCAAGTGACCCACGGGCTCCTTCCTTCCCTGGGGAAAGTGGGCCAGGAGGAGGGGCAGGCAGCTAGCTCCCAAATCACCCTTGTGCGGCCTGCCTGCCTGCCTGCACCAGAATCCTCGTTTCGAGCTGACTCGGCTGCAGCCACGAATGCCAAACAGGCAGCGCCATTGTGCCACCCGTTTGCTCTCCGTGCCGCAGCTTGCCACTTTGCCAACTGAGTCACAGTTTGGGGAGAAAAAGCACCTGATTCTCCTTCCAGGCTTCTCCGAGTCCCTGTTTTTCTACTCGGCTCCCCTCCCCCCTGCCTGCCTGCCACTCTTTTCTGATTAAGGCTTTCTTGCTGTTCCTCCCCCAATTTCTCAGCTGCTGGCAACTGTCCTTTCCCAGAAGGCGTCTGTGCAAGAATCTGCTGCGAGCGACGGGCCTGCCAAGGCGGTGGAGACACCCGCAGGTGCGTGGATGCTCCGGAGGACAGCTGGTCCTTCTGTCCTCGCGGGAGCGTTTCTTATTCCCAGGACCCCCGGCGTCTCCTGGAGAACATGACCCTGTCTCTCTGCTGCTGCCGCCAGGCCTTCGCTTGCTTCGGTTAGTGGGGAGCACTGGGGGGAGGGCACGATGGCCGAGGGAAAACAGCATCCCTCCTGCCTCTGTTGAACATGCAAGCTGCCTTCTGTGCGAAGAGCGCGCTGTTGATCGCAGGTCGGTCTGTCTCCCCCCCACGCTTTTGGTGTTGCTGTCCCCTTTGATTTCGGTTAGGAGTGTCTCAGCCTCCTGTGATGTTTATTTGGATCCTGAATGTTTGAGGCCTTTCTCCCCCCCCCCCCCCGGGCATCACTGCTCTGCTCCTTGCTCTTGCCCTGGATGGAGCATCTCAGGAGCTATCCAGTGGCAGGAGGAGGCGAGGGGGAGGCGTCAGCAAAGGCTGCTTTCTGCATTGCCGAAATGGATGGTGTATCAAGATGCTCACTGTGGGGAAGGGGCTTTCTCGATTGGTAGTGAGGGGCCTAAGGCAGCCAGGCTGTTCTGATCTGTGCCGTTGTGATGCTGCCCGGGGTGTGGATCGGCTGGGAGTCTGCATCTTCTGTGCAGCAGTTTTTACTTTTGGAGCTGCCCTGTTCTGGAGGACACAAATCTAGAAATCTCCAGGCCCACTTATAATCTCCCTCCCTCCCGAGGCTCAAGGGCTGACGCTGGAGGTCTCGGTAGCCCTTGGATCAAGCCGGAGACCTTGCGTGTTAGCTGGACTGGAAGAGGGTTGGAATCCTTGTTGAGGGTCGGATGGCCTAAAACGATCTGGGAGACATCAAGGTCACCTTGGCTGCCATCTTGATCTTCTACCACCTGTTTGGTGGGAGGAAGATGCTGCCTCATTGAGGCTGGGCCCCCCATTTTCCCTTCGGCTTGAAAGGAAGCAGAGCACCTGCGCAGCTCCTTGTTCCCCGTGTGAGGCTGGCAGTGTCCCACACTCAGACAAGCCACCTGTGCTGTAGCACCTGCATGCTAGTCTGTTTCTCCCAATGTCCTGTGGCCGGCCACCTTGTCCTGCCAAGGAAAGTGCCCATGGGGTGCCCAGGGCCTTCTTTGCACTCGAGGCTCCTTCGAATTTTCCGCTGTGTTGAGAATTCCTGCCTGCTCTGTGACAGGTACTTCCCGGACCCCAGGACTGGGCAGCACCCCATACCCCAGCCAGCCGTATGGTGAGCAGCAGGTGAAGAAGGTGGAGCCGCAGTCGGAGGGGAAGGCAAGTTTGGGCACCCCAGAACAGCTTCTGAAGTGGGTAAAGCAGGACAGAACTGGACAAGAGGTCCCTGCAGCCTGTGGCATTCCTTCGGGGGGCTGCCCACGCTGTAATCTTTTCTTTGGGGTTGGACTTATGGGGTAGGGTGGGAGTGTTTTCAGGGACAGATGAGGGTCTGAAGAGCTGGTAACCCATTTCTCCACCCCCATTTCCTGCCTCAAGTCTCCTTTATTCTGGAATTCTGAATAAAACCTGGAGAACTGAGCTGGCAAAAACGTGGTCTGGTAGAGTTCAGGGACAGAACGTGGCTCAGATGAAGCCTTGGTTCCATTGTGGAATTGAGCTTGCAGCCCTTTTATGTACAAACCGACTTTTCCAATCTATTATAAAGGAGAGGGGAGAGGGAGAGAGGGAGAGGGAGGGAGAGGGAGGGGGAGGGAGGGAGGGAGGGGGAGGGAGGGAGGGAGGGAGGGGGAGGGAGGGAGCTTAGTTAAGGATGCCTTCTCTGGGCTGCCAAAATTTGGATGAGTACCCAAAAGCAATGCAGAATTTGGTGTTTTTTTGTGCCACTTTGTGGCTGGCGGTATCTGGGGGGGGGCAGCTCCTCCTTTAGCTCTATCTTCCCCTCCCCCCCCAAAGGAACTAGGCTGCCCCCACCTTGCCTGGGAGGGGGGAATCTGTCTTTGCTTGGCAGCTTTGGTTCTCTCAGCTTCACCTGCTTCTCCTGAGACATTCAAGATGCTGCAGAAAAGGACAGAGCTGGCAACGAGGCCTGAGCGGCAGGGTACGATTCCATTTACAAGACCCATTTTTTTAATGGTTGTTTTTTGGGGTTTATTACACCCCTCACCAGACTGAATAGATCAGTGGTTCTCAACCTTTTTAATGCCGCGACCCCCCCAACCGGTCGTAAGTCGAGGACTATTCAACTGGTGCAGCACCATTTGCAGAATGGGACTTTTGGCAGGCTCAGCAGGGCAGAGACAACCTGGACAATTCCTATTGGCTTTTGGAAGCCAATAGAATTAGAGTCTATTCAAGAGAATCTATTCTATTGGCTTTCAAAAGCCAATAGAATAAAAGGGAGTAGCACAGCTAAGGAAAAGGGGGGAAAAAATGGCAGACGGCGTTGTTTGGCAACCCCTGTGAAATGGTCGTTCGACCCCAAATGGGGTCCCGACCCACAGGTTGAGAACCACTGGAATAGATAAATGTGGAAAGGAAGGAAGGGGAGGAACCTGCAACTAGTGTTAGAAGCAGATTGCTTTCTTGCAAGGAGAGAGATTCTGCAAGTAGGAAGAGATCCCAAAATAGTGATGGGGATCACAGTGACGAAGGTAGAAGGAAGACCATAAACCTCATTAAGGATAGGAAAAAATAAGAACTGCTGTTGCCAAAACCTCCCTCTGTCAGGCATTCAGGCAGGTGATTCTGGGTTTTTTAAAGAGATGTAATAACTATAAATAATGACTTGTGCCCGTCTTCCCACCCAGAGCTCAGAGGCCGTCTACCAGTGGCTCTACAAGTTTCAGCTGCAACTCTATGCCTCCAACTTCATAAATGCTGGTTACGACATTCCCACGATCAGCAGAATGACCCCCGAGGTGAGGACTCCTATTGAGAAATACGGAGGTGGGGGTCTGTGGGAGAGGACTAAGGAATTGGCCGCTCAGCTCAGGAAGGGGCTGGTGGAATGGAGGGAGCATCCTGATGATTTTTCAAAGAACTGCTTCTATTTTTAACATTAGAAGTGAGAATTTTAAAAAAGCAAAGCCAACGCAAATCACACAAATGTGTTGATTGTAACCAGCAACCACCTGGGTGGGAGCATCTCCATTCAAATGATTATAAGGAATGAAAGTGCAGCAGATCAACACAATCCTTGGGGGCACTTAGTTCCTCTGAGACTTTTTTTTAAAAAACCATTGGTTTGGCAGAAAAAGGACGATGGCTTCCTAATGCACAGGTCTCCACAAAGTGTGGTTTACAAACAGGCAGGATGGTGGCCACAGGGGCAGAATCAAAATTCTGCCTGTTTTTAATGTTTGATGCCATCATCTTGGTTTTTCGGACTCACCTGGCTGTCACTCCTAGCTCCGATACCTGTACCCTGGAACCGTAGGAAGAAAGAGGACAGATCCACATTTTAGTTTGTGGGTATTATTATGAATGTTGGGGCGCAATGGATCAGTGGTTAAGAAGCTGAACTGGTCAGCTGGAAAGGTGACAAGCCAGGGTTTGAGACCCAAGCACCGTGCAAAGGGGTGAGCTCCCATCCTCTACTCAGCTCCTGCCCATCTAGCAGTTTGAAAGCATGGAAATACAAGTAGATAAAACAAAAAAACAGTTTTGCTTTTCGCTGCATATTATGCTGACCACATGACCGTGGAAATGTCTTTGCACAATGCTGGCTCCCTCAGCTAAGAAACAGAGATGAGTCTAGATTCGGGCAGGATTGGACAGAGGAAACTTTTCCCTATTATGATTGTAAGAAGCTTCATTTCCTTTCTTAGGCATCTCTGTTCCTCTCCAAAGTGAGCTTAAGAAGTCTTTTTTTTTTTAACTTAAAAAGAAACTGAAATAGAACATGAGTCATTCTTGGATGGAAAAAAAAAACCCTCTTCCTTGAGTTTAGCTTCATTCCTGGTGATTTGCAAAATCCACCCAAGCAGATTTTTTGGCAAGAAGTGTTTTGCCCTCTGCCAACACTTTTTGGGATGTGTTTTGGCTTTCCAGCCTAGCCCATAGTTCAGGAACTGACCGGTTGTCCTCCATCTGGATTCTTCCTCAAGTGGTGCTCCTGCAAATAACCTTGATAACATGCCTGGACGGGTGGATGGGAGAGTGGGTGGGTGGCCCACACCCTGAAAAGAAGTGAGAGAGGACACTGAATAGTGACCCTTCTCTGAGCTTGTTTGGTATCAGAATCTAAGAAGGATCAGGTTGGCTTAGAATTGGGATGGAAGACCACATGGTGTTCCATGCTGGAAGCAAAATCACTGTGAATATGAGGGTGAACGTTCATTCTCCGAGCTTGTGGGTTGGTTTCCTTCACCCTCATCCTACACCCGAGCTACAAATATTCACCATTATTGCAAACACTCTGAATATATTGTAAGAATAACTGACTGAAAGAGTCATGAAGATGAAGCACCAACATTCTGAGAGATGTAGATAAGTCATGTTGTTAAGTTGAAAGGAAGACTCAGAAAAGGTCCCTTTTAAAGCAAAAATGGGAAGTGGAGAATCTGGCCTAGTATATTCAGTCACTTGTTGGTCAAGAATAAAGAGGGACAGAAGACTGAAAAAGTAAATGGGAATTTCATTTATTTATTACATTTATTACATCTCCGTGCTCCCCACCTGACCCAAGGATTACTGGGTGGTAATCCTAAGTAGGGAGGCAGTAACAAATTTGGACAAGAGTGTGAAGAATAAGGACCTTTTTCTCTGTGATCAAGACCAGACGTTGGAAATGTGGCCTTTCCAGGCTAATGAAGGGCTGGGAAGTGAACAAACATCCTGAAAAGGCCGTGAAATGACGTGATGTTCCAGGAGGCGAGCTTGACTTTGCCTTACTGCATGTATATCACAATGGTGCATGTTTATCTTCTAGGTCAGTGGTTCTCAACCTGTGGGTAGGGACCCCATTTGGGGTCGAGTGACCATTTCACGGGGGTCGCCAAACAACGCAGTCCGCCATTTTTTTCCCCTTTTCCTTAGCTGTGCTACTCCCTTTTATTCTATTGGCTTTTGAAAGCCAATAGAATAGACTCTCTTGAATAGAGTCTAATTCTATTGGCTTTCAAAAGCCAATAGGAATTGTCCAGGCTGTCTCTGCCCTGCTGAGCCCGCCAAAAGTCCCATTCTGCAAACGGTGCTGCACCAGTTGAGTAGTCCTCGACTTACGACCGGTTGAGTAGTCCTCGACTTACGACCGGTTGGGGGTCGCGGCATTAAAAAGGTTGAGAACCACTGTTCTAGGTGGTTGGGCCTTCTCAGCCATTCCCAGACCAAACCTAGTCCAACAACACTAGAGCAGGGGTCCCCAACACCCCGGGCCACAGCCCATTCGAAACCAGGCCGTGCAAGGAGGGGCTGAGTGTGCACATGCCCACAGTTCCACTTGCGCAAGCGGCGAGCATATGTGCAAGTGGAGTTATGTGCACTTGCACCCGTGCCTGTCACTGACCCGTGCCTCTCCCCCTCACCCCCCCCCCCCCGGTCTGCCAAACTGGAAAGATTGGGGACCCCTGCATTAGAGAATTCCTCAAAGCTTGGCACTCAGACAAATCAGCCATCAAACGACACATAGAGATAAACAAGATCTACAGTATCTATATACTTTTCAAAGGAGACTTACAAAAAGCCAAAAAGGAAACAAGACCAGAACATCCCTTTGCCAACAATCAACAGCCAGATGAGCAGAGATTAACACCAAGATTAACACTAGACCAACAATTAAAAAAACAATACCCCAATCAAGGAATTACCAACTCAGACAATCAGTAAATAACACCTTAATCAAGGAACCGCCAAAGCACTCCCACCAACAACGACAGGGAGAGCCACTAGTATAAAAAACAAGAAGCAAACCCTTCTGTCTTGCAGCACTGACTATGTTACCTAGTTAGGTCATGAAACGTCTGCAAGAAAACAGCCACAGTCAGAGGGCATCAAGGACCCCACAAATCAGTCCTGAACTACAAATGTTCTGTCGATTCCTAGCTCCAACGGTTTCAGGGTTTAAAATAGGGTGACCAACCCGTCCTCCTTTAGGGAGGACAGTTCTTTTGTAAGTTCTATCCTCCCTTGAAAAGTGTCCTCCTACATGTCCTCCTTTTCAATATTTGAAGACTAATCTGCAGGACTTTTTTTTCTCATAGAACACTCAGAAAGCCATTCCGGCACCTTTTTTTGATGGATTTTTTTTTTCAGCTTTTGCATGAGCTGTGCTACTCCCCCTATTAGCTTTCAAAAGCCAATAGGAATTGCTGCTGAGCGCGCCAAACACCTAGCCGGCAAACTTTGCACATGCAAGTTGTCTGCAGCGAAGGCGAATTGGCAGGAACTTTGCACCCCTCCCTGCTACCCAACTACACCATCTCCTAGTTAGTTCCAAAGATACCGTGCTGTGGGAACCGCGGGGCCCTCTCTACACGGGGCTGCGCAGGGTGGGTGGTGGTGCTGGCGGGGTGGCTGCAGGTGGGGTGTGTCGGTGGCGGGCTGCCCCCCAGGGCCGGAGCTGGCGTGGCTGGTGCTTTGGGAGCCACAGGGCCTGCTCTACATGGCAGGGCAGTGGTGCTGGCGGGGTGGCTGCGGGCGGGGGCGCGGCAGGCGGTTGACCTTCCATGGGCCGAGCCAGTTTTTACGATATTTTTTTCTTCAATTTATTTGTGTCCCCCTTTTCATTGTAAAAAAGTTGGTCACCTTATTTAAAAATGTGTGCTTGCTGCTGACTGAGACTCGAATGATGGGGCCATTCTTTTTGGCTTAGGACCTGACGGCCATTGGGGTCACCAAGCCAGGACACCGAAAGAAGATCGCCTCCGAGATCAACAACCTGAACATTCCCGAGTGGCTCCCAGAATACAAGCCAGTGAGCAGCCTCATCCTGCTGCATTTGGGGTTTGGGGAGGTTGGAGACAGACAGGGCAGGCGCATCGCCCTGAGGTGGGAAGCCGTAGTCTAAAAGGTCCAGAAATCCCAGAATGTGTCAGCAGCAGACTTAGCTGTTGGTTTGCTGGTGACTTTCACAACTTTGCCTCTGCTCCTGGCAGGCTCTCTGAAGCACGCCAGAAACTTTGCTTTTCTGCAGAGCATCTGAAAGCAGAATTCACGCTGTGGTTCCACACGGGAGAGGCAACATTATGATTCAGACCCTCCTTTATTGCTAGAATTCTTCTGTAAGGATAATGCAGAAGCCGCCTCCATTTAAAAAAGAACCTGACAAATGCAGGTGGTTGTTTAGTGACCGTTCAAAGTTACAACGGCACTGAGAAAAGGGACTTACAAGTTTTTCACACGGCCGTTGCAGCAGTACCACGGTTGCATGATCAAAATTTGGATGTTTGGCAACTGGCTGATATTTATGACGGTTGCCATGTCCCAAGATCACGTCTTTTTGCGCCCTCCTGACAAGCAAAGTCAGAGGGGAAGCCAAATTCACTTCACATCCCTGTGACTAACTTAACAACTGCAGCGATTCACTTAGCGACTGTGGCAAGAATGGTTGTAAAATGGAGCAAAACTCACTTAACAGATGTCTCACTTAGCTGTTGCTCTTGGGCTCAATTGTGGTCGTAGGTCAAGGACCTGTACAGGTTACAAGCTGCCCTTCGGCTGCCTCCCTCATTTAAGTTCCTGATCCTTCTACTGTAGAGGGGAGAAGCTTTAACTGCCCGCAGGTACGTCTTGACTTACAACCGTGATGCAGCCCACCCACTGCAGTCATGACGGTAAATCGGGTCACCCATGTGACTGGCCTGATTTTGCAACCATTTTTTTGCAGCAGTTGTTAATGACAGAGAAACACTTATGACAGTGTTTCTCAACCTTGGCGACTTGAAGAGGTGTGGACTTCAATTCCCCTTGCTGCCTGGGGAATTCTGGGAGTTGAAGTCCACACCTCTTCAAGTTGCCAAGGTTGAGAAACACTATGTAAGGACCCACCCCACTTTGCATCTTAAGAAGACAGAACTCTTGGAATATTTCTTCCAACAGGCATCCTTTATTAAGAGAAAATGGTTGCAGGTGTTCTAGACAGGACTTGGGCCCCAAGCCCTACGGTTCAAGGTTTTAAGGGATCCTCAGCAGCCCTGCCCCACCCCACCATCTTTCCAGCGACAATCCCAGGCGTTACATTTCCCCCCCCCCTTTTCCCTCACTGCGGGTGGAAGGGAGACGTCAGAGAGGGTTACATGAAAGGTAATGGCCTCATTGTTATGTTTAGTCCTTTTGGTGGTATCCACATTCAATCCCTTTGAAGTTGTACCAAAGGAAGTGAGGGCCATAAAACCTCTTTGTTCACCCCCTTCCCTTCATCGTATGACAGAATCCAGAGAGGGCAGAAATGGGGTTTTCCAGAGTCGATAACTAGAGATGAAATATAATTGGATTCTGACACACTGGCTTAAATTCTACATCCTGTGTCTCTCCCAGGCAAACCTGGCCCTTTGGCTTTCCATGATCGGTCTGGCACAGTATTACAAAGTCCTGGTGGAAAATGGCTACGAGAACATCGATTTCATCACCGATATCACTTGGGAGGATCTGCAGGAGATCGGCATCACCAAACTGGGTGAGGGGAGGGTGGAGACCACTCCATTCTCAACGAGAAACTGAATCAGGGTCTTTGGGTACCTCTGTGCATGAATGGCTGGTTTTGGTTCCGAGCAAAGTGGAGGGAAGAGTAGGCTGGTTCAGTCTGCCTCAGTTTCTCCAACCTGGTGCCTTCAGAATGTCTTGAAGTTAACAACTTCCATTGTTCTGGAGCAGTGGTTCTCAACCTTTTTAATGCCGGGACCCCCAACCGGTCGTAAGTCGAGGACTACTCAACCGGTCGTAAGTCGAGGACTACTCAACTGGTGCAGCACCGTTTGCAGAATGGGACTTTTGGCGGGCTCAGCAGGGCAGAGACAGCCTGGACAATTCCTATTGGCTTTTGAAAGCCAATAGAATTAGACTCTATTCAAGAGAGTCTATTCTATTGGCTTTCAAAAGCCAATAGAATAAAAGGGAGTAGCACAGCTAAGGAAAAGGGGGAAAAAATGGCAGACTGCGTTGTTTGGCGACCCCCGTGAAATGGTCGTTCGACCCCAAATGGTGTCCCGACCCACAGGTTGAGAACCACTGTTCTGGAGGGTGCCGGGGTGGGAAAGCCCAGCCTATACTGTGACTGGGCCTCAAATATTTTGGCCATGGAGGAGGTGCATATGGAGAAGAAGAGACAAGAAGCTGTTCTCCAGACGGAGACTAGACTCATACATTAAGGCCTAGTGAGACACAATTGTACTGGTTTGGAGGTTTATTTATAAAGATTGTGCTAGAATTTTAACCAGTTTCGATCTCTCGTATCTGCTTAGGCCACCAGAAGAAGCTGATGCTAGCTGTGAAAAAGTTGGTGGAGATCCAGAAAGCGGAATACATCAAGTATGAATCAGGAACCCTGAAGAAAAAAGGTGCACCACAGTCACAGGACACAGTGGCCATAGAGTCTCCTCCGCAGGAAACGGCTGAATGCCAATCCCCCAAGATGTCCACTTTCCAGGGCAGCGAGCTGAGCAATGAATTGCAGGTGGCCATGACAGGCACCAGTGAAGAGGGGCCCGAGAAACAGGTCAACCATGTGACGCACTTCCGGGACGGAGCTGTCTACCGGCACCCCTCCCGCCTCGTTCACGAGAACAGCCTGAGTGGGAGAGCTAAGCTGATTAGTAGTTCCCAGGAGCTGCTGGGAGATGGGCCCAAATCTCCTGGCCCTGCAGCATCCAAAAGCCAGGAGCACCTAGCAGAAGAGGGGAAGGAACCTCCAGCCACCCTGCCCAAGGAGGTGCGGAGCCTCCGACATGGCCACAGCATCAAGAGGGCAAGCGTCCCACCAGTGCCTGGAAAACCCCGGCAATCCTTCCCTCCAGCTGCAGGCCACTACACCCCTCCGCAAACGCCCACCAAGCCCCGCCCATCCTCTCCTCAGGCTTTCGGGGTGCCCCACGCCACAGCCAAAGTAAAACCCACACCACAGTTGCTGCCGCAGACCGACCGACCCATGTCCCCTCGCTCCCTGCCTCAGTCTCCAACGCACCGGGGCTTTGCATATGTCATACCGCAGCCTGTGGAGGGAGAGGCTCAGGCGGCGGGCCCCTTGGCTCAAGCCGTGCCGGTCCTGCCCATCTCCATTCCAGTGCTGTGCCTGCCACCCCAGGCTGCGGAGAGCGAGGAGGAGGCAGGTCGGCCCAAGAAGAGGGCCCACAGTCTGAATCGCTATGCAATGTCCGACAGTGAGCAGGAGCGGGATGAGCTGCTGGTGCCAGATGCTGGGCCCTATGCCACTGTGCAGCGGAGGGTCGGGCGCAGCCATTCTGTCCGGGCACAGTCGGGTGTCGACAAGAACGTGAACCGCAGCCAGTCCTTTGCTGTGCGGCCCAAGAAGAAGGGACCTCCGCCTCCGCCGCCCAAACGTTCCAGCTCTGCCATCTCCAGCAGCAACATGACGGACGATTTTAGCAAAGAAGGAGAGGAGGGAGAAGAGCTGGCCCAGAAGCAGCTGAGTGACGGGGGCACCGTGGACACAGGCAGTGCTGGGAGCGTAAAGAGTATTGCTGCCATGTTAGAAATGTCATCTATCGGTGGAGGGGGGCGGGCTCTTGCCCTGCAAAAGGGGGCTGACGGGTACTACTTGCAGCCTGGTGTGGTTGTGCGCTCAGCCAGTCCGGAACATACCCGTGTTGCAACTGTTCTGGCCACTGTCAAGCACAAAGAGGCCATCGGACCAGACGGAGAGGTGGTGAACCGCCGACGCACCATCAGTGGTCCTGTGACTGGGCTTGTGGCAGCTGCTCGCCGTGAACGCTCGGACAGCATCAAGTCTGATTTGGCCAAAGATGGCGGCCCCATGGAACGGCTGCGAGCAGAGCACAGCGGGAGCTCCCCACAGAACGGTTCAGGAGAAAATATCCCCTTTGCGGAGGAGGGCAGCCTGACTATCAAGCAGCGTCCCCGGCAGATGAGCCTCGCCAAGGCCGAAGGTGGGGAGGGCTTGTCCCTGGCCCACCGGCATGGTGACCTTTCCAGAGTGGAGGCCAGTGCCACTCTCAAGCGGAGGATCCGGGCAAAGCAGTGTCAACAGGACAATGTCAAGTTCATCCTCACGGAATCGGACACTGTGAAAAGGCGGCCAAAGTCAAAAGACAAGGAGCAAGAGCTGGCCCAGCTCTCGGTGTACCACAACGGTATGGGCACAGTCAAGCGCCGGCCGACCTCTGAAATGAGCAGCCTGGAGGCTGTGGCTCCCACAGAGCAGAGAGGGGAAGGGGCTTTGGCTCAGATCCCCCGCGAAGGAGAAGCCAAGAAACCCATCAAGCCTCCAGTCTCCCCCAAGCCCATCTTGCCGCCCAAAACCTCAGGGCCTTCCACGCCCACCCCCAAAAGGGCTCCGATTCCCGGCCCTGGAAGCCCAGGTAAAGCCTCTTCCTGGGGAACCCACAGAGCATGGTTTTAGCAGGGGGCTTCTGAGCTCATAATTCCAGGGGCTTCACAGCTGTTTCTCTGTGCTCCGAGGCTGCCACAAGGCTTCTTTATCCATGCATATATCTGGGCTCCTATAAGCTGCTCACAAAGAAGTGTTAGGTGGCACATGGGAGATTTTGTGTATGTGTGTGTGTGGGTGGGTGCTCTGGGAATCAGGCTGGGGAATGGAAGTTGCTGAATAGAAGGGGGCACCGGTTATCATCTTTAATATCCACTGAATCCAGTTCCAGTAACAGCTGGACTGTCTTCCTAATGATAGAAAACTTTAGAAGCAGCCCTACCAATTGAAATCTGCATGTTATAACCACTTCCTCTAACATAGTGGGTGCTACTTGTCTCTTGCAGAAGTGAAACGTGTCCATGGGACCCCGCCACCCACATCTCCAAAGCCTACACCACCCCCAACTGCTCCGAAGCCGAAGGTCCACCCTGTCCTCCAGTCAGTGAGTGCCAGCTGCACACCAGCACCTTCACCGGCCAAGCAGCTCACCCCCACCATCAAGCCTTCAAGCACACCTCCTTCCCTCTGCTCCAGCCCAGCTAAGCCTTTGTCTCCCGGAGGGCTACCTCCCCAGACCGTGCCAGTCAAGCCACCTCGCTCCTCCATGGCTGGGCCTTCAGTGGAGAGCACCGAGAGTGTGCATCAGAAACTGGAGGAGACCAGTGCTTCTCTGGCTGCCGCTCTGCAAGCTGTGGAGGAGAAGATCAAGCAAGAGGATGGACAAGCAGCAGAGTAAGGCACTCCTGAGGATGGGAAGGGGTGGGGAAGGCCAGACATGGTTGAGGAGCCAGAAGGCCCGCAGAAAGTCCAGCAGACCAGAGAGGCTGGGTGAAACAGCCACTGTTGGTTCTGCACCATGAGGAGGTGCAGCCATCTGTTGTCTTCTATGGGTTGTCCATTCTCGGGAACAAAGGACGTATTTAGCAAAAAGGTGAAGGAGAACAGAATAGGAGAAAGGCAGGACGAGATTACTGCTGTTACATGTGCTCAGATTTAATTAACCAAAGGACAGAGGCATTAGGAAGCTGAATTAAGGCAAGGGTTTTGTAGAGGAATTGGAACCAGCTTAACCTCACTTGTATCTCTTGCCTTCAGTTCCACTGCAGAATCCAAGAGTACTGTCAGCATCCTGGATGACATTGGCAGCATGTTTGATGACCTTGCTGACCAGCTAGATGCCATGTTGGAATGAGAGCTGGAGAACAGTCCGGGCCAACCTCAGGATCTGCCATGGGCACAAGGGCACAATCACCTCCATGAAGATCTTCCCTCCTCCATTTTTTGAGGTTTGCACAAAGAAGACAAGGTTACCTCAGGATTGTGTTGAAACAAACTGAGATGCTTGAGAAAGGCTTCCCTCGGGACCAGTTTGGCAAAGTGAAGGGAGGAACCACGTTTGGGTGTCTTCTCCCCTCCCTTCCAAACACCTGTGTGACCTTAGAGATAACAGCAGGGCTGCAGTTCTCCTGCAGTGGAGTCGGAGGTCAGGGCCTGGGATGGCAGAGCTTCCATGGCAACGGGAGAAAGTGAGCGTCACACTTTCTTCAGCACAGCTTTCTGGGCGAAGCTACTCCATCCACTCCGTGTGGCTTTTCCCCTCACATATAATTATGAAGGTTTCCTTTCCCCCCTCTCCAGATCAGTCCTGAGTTGTTACCGTCCCAATACACTATCAAAGTACGTGGCACAAATAAGTATTAGTCTTCTCTGGTTCTTCATGTTTTCCATTTGGGGTGAAATCTTGTCTTAGCGATGACTATTGCCTTCTGTGTTGGGTGTTTCTGGACTGCACACCGCGTTTCCTTCCATGCCCAGCTCATGCGCCCAACTGCCACCGCTGGACATGCTGGTAGAGGCAGCCATGGAAGGCCTGAGGGAACCTGTGAGTCGGGGTGGGGGGTGGGGGAACCTTCAGCAAGCTGCATGCTTTGTTTTTTTGTCCTGAAGGTGTTTGTCTTCTCCTGGTGATGATGAAGCTGTGACTGTAAGAAGTTTTGTTTTGTTAACACGTCCCCTTTGAGAGACAAGCTCTTTTTTTTCTGTCGGTTTGCCTTGGAAAGCATCATTCCTGGCAAAAGCTGTGCAAAAGCTTTGGTATGTTTGCATGATCGATAAAAGTATTGAAATATGAAAAGAAAAAAAAAACGGGGTGGGGTGGGTGGGATAAAAGCATCCTGGCCAAAATTTCCTTGTACATAAGCCCCATCGGTGGCTGCTGCAGCTGCCGAAGATAGACGGCAAATCTTTTTTTTTTTTTTTTAAACCCCTCTCGAGGCAGTTCTGAGCACAGGGACTCGCCCTGCACTTTCTATTGCTCTAAGGCGCTTCTGTCCCAAAGAGTTCGTCACCGATTGAACCATTTCGCCTTCTTAACCTGCCGTGACCGTTGGGAGCAAGGTTGGAAGAAGACGTCACTGACCAGGCAATGGACGGAGAAGGAACGATAAACCATATCCGTGTTCTGGAAACCGAGGGCAAGGGCGGTGGTGGTTTGGTATTTCAGTGGAGGTTTCATGGAAGGGAGACGTCCTCTCTTGGTATTACAGGCTCAGTTTCGGAAGGGGGCAGCCAGGATGAGTGGATTGCAACCATTAGCTAGAACATGTCTTGTACTCCTGACTCGTGAGACGCAGATCTTGCCCTGATTGAAGGATCTTCTGGCAATCAGTTAGGAAAGGGCTTCCTTGCGAGAAGGAATCCTGCCGAGTACAGCACCGTTTCTTCTTCCAGAAAGGGGCATCTTCCAAGAGGATCACAATTTGTGCTGACCCAAGGGTTGTACGCCAAAGTTTACTCTTATGAGCCTTCTCCCTCTTCCAGGTATGTAGTGCAGAATTGCTGTTTTCGTTACTCCCCAGGCAGTGTAAGCACCACCTTGGTATTGTGGCAAATTCATCTTCTAATTTCATCAACCGACTTGAGGCTTCCTAGAAGGAAGAAATCATAGTATAGTGACGGGAGGAACAAACTGCTCTGTCAATTCAGAACTGTCTACTATGCTCAGGTTTACTTTGGTTTATTCCACTTGCAAATTGGAAGGGTCTGGATAGGAAATAAGGAAGACCCTTGGCTGCAAGAGGAATGCTTGAATGTTGCCGTTAGGGAAGGCCAGCCTTTGTCTGGCTCCTGCTTCTGATGGATGAGCTTCTCGGGGTCTCCTGGCTTCTTCAAGTTGCATGGGAAGACTTGGATCACCCTCCGGCCATGTTCTCAGTGAGCTGCTCCACTTCAGCTTCCACTCGGTCTTCCTTCTTGTGGAATTTATAAAACAACACGATGATGGCAAGAAGCAGCATTTTACAAGGAAAGGTAGATCATTTTACTTGAATCGTTTACCGGGTTCTCTAAACCTTGTGCCCACAGGAGCATTCTGGGGCAAGTGCCCAAGATATGTTGTCCTTTGTCCAAGGCCAGTGGGAGTAATTCTTAAACCTTTGACTGCTATTTCCAAATGATTCATTTGCCTACAAAACTCCATCAAAGAAATTCCCCTAAGTACTTCTGAAGGAATTTTGGCAGCGCCTACTTATTTTTGACTCTTAGAATGCGTTTCCTAATCTCTAGCCTAAACTGGCTTTTAAATGTTTTCGGCTGGTTATACTTTCTCTCCCTCATGATGTGTTTGTACGTCAGAATAACGGTGGCCCATAATTCATATGTCACGCCTCTGAAACCAGAAGCACTTGAACCATCTTCCTCTCTCACAGATGAAAGTACCGAGGTACTAGCTAGCTTAAGGCCCTTTTCCCAAAACTTATATCTTCTGGGAATGAAGAACTACAGGGCAACAATTTGCAGCTGGGAATCAACCGATATTCTTCGGGAGATCAGAGGGGGCTGGGAAAGTGACACAACCTCTCCGCATGCTGCCATCCGATTTGTAGGGCATCCGTTCTGACCATGGGATGGAGCCCTTGCCTTTCATCTCTCCTTCCTCTTATCTGGTGTAATTCTCAGGTCTCTCTTGCTGGTGGGTTCTCCGTTTCCTGTACATTTCACTCCGTCGTGTTTTGGTTTTTGCTTTATCGAATCACCTGGCAATAAAGGAAAAAAAAAACAAACAAGAGCTACCAACTTTCAGTGAGATCTTGGGGCTTTGTCTTGCAGACTCTTCTCAGACAACATGGCAAGGTTGGGGTTCTTGAGCAGGTGACCTCTCACGTTTTATGGCTGCTCTCAGCCAAGGGTAAAAATACCAGTGATAGGAACAAAACTTACGTGTGGGGCTACCACAGCTTCATCTTCTCTTAGAGTTATCAGTTCCATCTTCTTGAGTGGCAGGCCAACCTCCAACACGGGACCCGTTCTTCACTTATGTGATCATGACATGCTGGGTTCCTTCCTCTTCGGTCTATTCTTCCTATCTCTCCATCCGGTAAAGGAATCCAGAAAAAAAGCAGCTTAAAAAATGGGAGTCTCCCTTTGGCTTCCTATACATCCCCCATGGGCTTGGAGTTAAGATCTCGGGAGAACTCGTGGTCATCTTTTGGAAGAGCTACTGTTCTGAGAGACATCATGGAGCTTTTTCCACCTTAAAAGAGTAGTGTTGAGTTGTGGTGCTGTTTCTTTTGTTACTTCACTGATAGAGCTCTCCTCCTCTTGAGACAGCCGTGTTTGGGATGTTCTTATGTGTGCAGAGACTCACACAGCTTTTCTGTTGGAAGGTGATTAAAGGGATAAAAATAAGCTATATATAAAAAAAGTATTTATTGGGAAAAAAATATTTAAGTGGAGTTTCCCCCAGAGATAAATAACAAAAGGAAAGGAGTTTAATATATATATATATAAAAGATTTTAAAATATTATCAATTGTATATTGAAGTTTTAAAATATGAGATTGAAAGAACTGGAGTTTAGCTTGACTATTAGAATTATTATAAGCTGTGTGTCTTGTGAGGTCATTTTAAAAAAGTAGCACAATGTTTAAAAAGGTAGTTTATCTTTTTTTTTTTTCAAAGCGTGCAAAACATTATGTTATATGGATTTTTTTTGCCATTTTCTTTTTACAGTTTTATTGAAAATCAAAGGATGTGCCTTGTTTTAAGAAGTTTTGTTTAATCTTATCTGAAAAGCGTGCATTCTTTTGTGTCTTTTTTAAGTTGGATGTATGTTTATATGCGCCTGTGTATGTATGCGAGTGCGTGTTGAAGTGCATGCATGTGGAAATCACTAACATATGCCCAGCTGTACACCAGTGTACAAATGGGGGTCAGTCCAGTTTAAACACGGCTGTTAAGTCTGAAACATCCTACTGGTTTCCTAGAGCTGTGGTTTCTGAGAGCTAGACTTGCTGTGTGAATGCTGTTCCTGTTTCTTTTCTTGAATATGGATAGTCTGTCTTTGCTGATATCCAAAACGTGTCTGGCACAACTTTGAAATTTCTTAATTAAAAAAAATAAAATAAAAAGGCAACATAACAATAGCTGTTGTAAAGAGAAACAAAATGTGTAAGAAACTAGTCCAAGATTCTAATGCTGGATATATACATACTATCTATCTATATATACATTATATTTTTATTATTAAGTTATGGATACTGTATTGTATTCCCCTTCTGTCAAAGCTATGCATTTTCTGCTTCTATTCTTCTTTTCTTCCTGCACACATTCAACCAGTATTACTTATATTAATAGCTTTATGGTGGAGTATTTTTTTTTACTGCTTCTTTTTAAAAAAGAAGTTATCTGGCTTTCAATATTTAAAGATAAAAATGGGGAAGCAGGCCCTGCTCGTCTTTAATACAGATACATGACATTCACTGTTAAATAATACTTTTATTGTTGAGGTCAGAAAAAAAAATCCCACCTCGGAGGCACTAACTTTGTGTGTGGGGGGGGGGGTTTCTGGCTGCTCTGGTGCAGAGGGAGTGACGAGTTCATGCTGCAGCTCACAGTCCAGGCAAGCGTCAATGTGGATGCATTTATGACCATCGGTGCTTAATAAAACGTCCAGATTATCTTGGCCCGCTCAACTCGTGTTTTGGCTCCAGCCGGAGGGGAGAAAAAGCTTCTGCCGTGTGATGGGAAAGGGCTGCTGGGTGCCAGCTGGAGCCATTGTAAAAGCTGCACGTCTTACCGGAAGCTGGAACGTGGAACAGTTTGTGAAGCCGATTCTTCTACATCTCCCACTTTGTACATCGTACTGAGCCAGAACATTTGCACAGAGAAAAAAAAACACCAAACTGCTGGAAGCTACTTCTGTCACTAGAAATCTCCCACTGTAATTCAGGTTTTTTTTGGCAATGCAGTGGCCAAATGCAACTAAGGAAGGCATTTTCCTCTTCTCCAAGGAAACGGTCAGTGCCCAGCTTGTGGGTCTGTCGTTTTCCCCTCAATTCCTACCTCTAAACATTGTCTCAGCATTTTGGAAGTTGAATGCAAAGGCCATCTGAGTTTCAGGCTTAAACAGCAACCTCAAGAGCAGCATTCTGAGGGAGGAGAATGCCACAGATAACCAATAGTTGAACCTAAGAAATTGAACAGATAGGTGGCCGCAGGTGATCACACGAAGCCCTGGTCGGTGCATTCAGCCTTTTTGGTGCTGCTTTGAGCAATAAGCTCCTTGCGCTACGTGCAAATATCTTTGCAGTCAGGGGGACTGTTACATTTACTGACTAATGGCAACCCAGGAGGTGCTCATCGCAGATCAGCCAGGAAGTGTTGAGTGGGTATCTCTCAAAATCCATAGAGGTCAGCCTCGAACTTTTTTGGGGGTGGGGGCAGGGTTGGGCCCCGCTCCTGAGGGATTCTGTTCATCGGCTGAAACGCTTCAGGTTTGTCAATGAGTCATGCTGGCCTAAAACAACGGTCCAATTTTATTGGTAAGGAAGAAATAATCCAAATCTATTATCACAATTTTAAAAACAGTAGAAAATGTCCGTAAAAACACAACCGTTGGCTCGCCTGCCTTTCCCAGGGAGGCCGTGATGATGGGATGCTCTGAAGAGGGGGTGGGTGGGAAGAGGCTTAGGATACCTGATAAGAAGGCTGGACTGGGGACATAAAAATCGTACCGGGCTACATGACAGGACACTGGGTTTTACCCCCGGCTGGGGCCACGAAGGAAGGAGCATAGCAAATAATTTAAATACCAGGAGAGAGAGAGAGGTCCTCTGGGCGAGGCGCTGTGGCTGCTCATGCAGACCGATCCAAACCAGCTTCGCGGAAAAACGGCCCTTGGAGGCGGTCTCCTATCGGCGAGGAGCGCAGCCTTCGTTGCCCCTCTTTGCAGCTGGGCCAGTGTCCACCAGCTCCTTCTCTCTCCCAAGAAGAGCCAGACCAGGAACCGGAGCTGGAGTGGCGCATTGGTAAGGGGGGGGAGGGAATCCTCCCTGGGAATGCGCTGCTGCGAAAGGGGGGGCGGTGCTGAGGTATGTGGCCCAAAGCTCTTGCACAGCTGCTGGGGAGTGCAGGGCCCACCGAGAAGGAACACAGCACATCTGGAGGGTGTTTGGAGTGTACGGAGTGAGCCGGCGTGTGTATTTGGCAGCGTGGTGTCCAAAGCGGAAGGCAGCATCTTTAGCAGGTCCAAACCTGTCAAGGAGAGAAATGTCAGCACAGCCCAAACTCCGTCACTGAGTAGGACATGGTTTTTCAACCTTAGCAACTTTTAAGACCCCTGGACTTCCAACTCCCAGAATTCCTCAGCCAGCCTAGCTGGCTGGCGTAGGATGTAGAGGCGACCCTTGTTTGACAGGACCTGTGTCATGTCAGCCCAGGGGCCATCCTGAGCGCCAGAGGTCTTCCTACCAGGAGCCGATCTTTACCAAAGGGTCCCTTTGTGGAGCTGTGCAAGTGCAGCTCTGCGATGAGCGCAGCACCGCAACAATATGTGCATCAATGTCATCTCTAGGGTGGTTTCTGCACTCCCGGATTGCAAGAGAACAGAGAACGGCTGACTTGCCCACCTCCTAGGGACCTATCCCTCCGCTCCCCACAACCATTCTGATTCCTGGCAAAAAACCACAAATTTATAGAAATTGGGAGAGGCCCGGGGAAGCAGGGAATCAGTGGTAGAGGCCTGACTACAAACCCCATCATCCCTAACTACTACACGCTGGCTGGCCCAGTATGACCTGTGGTGGCGCAGTGGTTAGAATGCAGTATTGCAGGCTAACTCTGCCTACGGCCAGGAGTTCAATCCTGACCAGCTCAAGGCTGACTCAGCCTTCCGTCCTTCTGAGGTTGGTAAAATGAGCCGGATTGTCCGGGGGGGGGGAAGGGGAAGATGCTGACTCTGTAAACCACTTAGAGAGGGTGATAAAAGCACAGTAGAGCGGTACGTAAGTCTAAGCACTGCAGACAGTCCTCAGCTTACGACCACAATTGAGCCCCCAATTTTATGTTGCTAAATGAGAAACTTGTTAAGTGAAATTTGCCCCATTTTACAATTTTTCTCGCCACATTTGTGAAGTGAATCAATGCAGCTCTTCAATTAGTCACACGGTGGGTTTCCCCGTTGACTCTCCGTTTGTCAGAAAGTTGCAAAAGGGGATCACATGACTCTGGGACACTGCAACCGTCATAAATGTGAGTCGGCTGTCAAGCATCCAAATGTAAATCACGTGACCCTGGGGATGCTGCTATAGTCAGAAGTGTGACAAGTGGTGATAAGTCACTTTTTTCAGTGCTGTTGTAACTTCAAATGGAGAGTCACGAAGATGACCTTGATGGCCGTGTGCAAGAAGTGACGCCTGGCAAAAGGAGCTGAAATATTTCTCAACTCCACAGCAAAGAGGACATTCGGGAGTGGGGAGATTATAGTTTTACAGCCAGTCTCAATAAAACAAAACTTTGGAATTGCTTCCCTGAACTCCTCCACCTAATGAGGCTGGCAAAGACCTTGCCGAGCAACGAAACAGAGACCTAATTGCCCAGTGAGGGTCCAGCAACGGGCACTTGGCCAAATCTTCAGGGTTCTGCTGATGGCTTCTTTCTCTCAATGCTCAACATTAAACATCGGAATAGATGACACGTGGCACAGGGGAAGAAAAAAGTAATCTAAACTCCCATTTGTGAGTGGACCCCTCCCAAAAGGAGAGCACCAGGGAAGCCATGTGTGGCACGGAAGTAAGCTAAGCTCCTTCCCGTGTCTTAAACCATGGTAAGCGAATAGGCCCTATTCTGGAACATATAGCTCCATGGACCGTATAGCTCTATGTAGCCCTAACTAGAGAGCAGGTATCAGTGTGTTGGAGTGTCTGGCAGTTATTGGGTTAAATGCTACGTATGCTGATGGGTCAGTGGGAGGAGTATCAAAGGTCATTGAGAGACTTCCTGGACACAAACCAGATGGGATCCTTTGTTCACCAGCCGCCTGGTTCCTAGCCACATGGTTAGGAGATCCTTGCCAATATGTAACGCAGGAAAACAAGAGGGGAAAATCCAGTGTCAATTTACCTGGGGAATAAACCAATATTGCAAACATGTGCTTCTAGATGCATCTCCACGTGACTGTAAGTCATTGTCTAAAATTCCCAGAATAAAAGTTATATTTCTGTTTATTCTTCGGAGTTATCTATCTGTTTGGACTGTACAGAAAGCAACCTGTTCACTGTGGAACAGAATAGGCCCCATATAAGCACATCTTGGCTTGCAAAGGGCCCCTGGAAGGCACAGACTTGTGACTCTATCACATTGTGTCTCAAATTAAAAAGAGCTCTTCCTAAAGAGGTGACAAGCCCGCTCCACTGCCGCCTCCTCTTTCTCCTCCTCACCTCCATGTGTAGCATAAACACATCTAACTAGGATGTTTCTCTATCAGGGCACAAAGTGAAAATATCTACTGCAAACACCGTGTGGTGTCAGGAAGGGCATCCGGCAAGTAAACACTCAGCTCCATTCAGTCGCCCTGACCCAACCCCAAAGCAAGGGATTACAGGGTCGTAAAACAAAACAAAAACAGGAGAAGACACCATAGCCTCCACTGGCCTTTCCCTCTCTCAGGGCCTGGAGCAAAGAGACACTCAGGTCAAACTTTTGTCTCTCAGAACAATCCTCTCATGGTGGACGTGCCCTAAATCAGGGGTCCCCAACCGTGGCAACTTTAAGACTTGTGGACTTCAACTACTGAGGTGGAGCTCCTAGGGCAGCGATGGTGAACCTTTTCGACACCGAGTGCCCCCAAAACACCCCTCCCCCTCTCCGCCTGCCCATAGGGACACCTACCGCCTCCACAGCCCGCCGGAAGAAAGTGCCCAGGTGGCACTGCAGTGCCATGGTGGCCACGCCCTCCGCCCGCACCCCGTAGCATCAACTGTGTGCAACGGGGCGCAAGGGCAGAGTCTTGTCTCTGCTGCCCGGCTGCCATGTCCTTGGCTGCGCTGCTCCATGTGGGCCGTGCCCGGTGACAACTCTCCTTTGGGGGGGCTGCTAGTGATGAGGGGGCCGTAGGTGGAGGTGGGACTGGGACGACGGCACGT